GCGCGCGCGCGCGCGCTTACTCTCTTTATCGCTGGAAAGCTGCAAGTCGGCAATGCGCACGCCGAAAAACAAAGTAGCGCGCTCCGGCAAAGTTATCGGGCGGGTTGTGCTCGCGCAGCGTAATGAGGGGAGGCTGCGAGCAGATCGAGAGCGGGCTAACCGATCGGGTTGGTTGGGCAGGTTGTCGCAGTACGAGCGGCAGCAGCCGCAGCCCCGCGGCAACGACCCTATTCTGCCCGCGGTGCTGGAATTCCTGGAGGAGACGGAGGAGGCCTTCTTCCACGCGGTCATCACGGACGTCGAACCGTCGGCGCCGCAGTTCAAGCTGGCACCGACCTACACCCTCTACCTCGCCGCCAGATATCGCGCCAGCACCCACTACCGCTCCGAGCTGCAGCCGACCGAGCGGGCCGAAAGATTGACCGTCATGCTCGCCAAAGTCGCCAGCATGATCAATAGGGTGATCAAGGTACGTTAGATTTGCTTTGATATTTCAGCACGGCTCTCTGCTAGTTTGAGCGCCGACGAGCGTGACGGGCGTAACGGCTAAGTCTCTGGCCGCGCACTCGCCTTCTCTGCGGGATCTGCCCAATCGTCGACCGCAGTCACGCGCGGGCAATAGCGACGCGACGAGAGTCCAGCGAACGTTTTCATTCCTATCTCAACGTCTGGACATTTGGTCGGTCTACGAGCGCGTGAACGTGCAATCAAACGGTTCCAAGTCGCTCGAGTGCCTGGCCGTCAAAAGGGTTGAATATAAAGGGGGTTCACCGAAATCCGGCCTCAATTTGGCAACGCGCCGCCCGTGCGAAGTGGGAGCGCACACGCGACGTGCGGGCGACGTTTACAGGAGGCAAACACGGACGACCCGCTCGAAGTGATTCCGAACGTGACGCTCTCGCTCTTCTCTCTCTCTCTCTCTCTCTCTCTCTCTGTCATCGCCGCGGCTCTCTGTTTGTTCGCCCGAGAATGCGGCCTGGAGCGGGTGCGCTGGCGCGAACTCGACAATTATTGTTGCGTCGGTCGCACCGGGATGCGAATCTCGATGAGGAGAACGTTGCTTGTAGCCGCTACTCGGCAGTCCCGAAGCACGCGGCTTCAGATCGGCCTTAGGGCTCGGACTCCCGCTGTCTTTGTCTGGGTGTCGCTCGCACGGGAGCAAATGACCGCAAGCCCCAGGCGCTGGCCGAGCCTCGTTGCAGCAGATCGTGTACTTGCAGGAGCGCTACATGGACGCCTCGTCGCTGGCGCTGTGGCTGGCCAACGGCTCGGAGCTGCTGCACATGTTGAAGAACGACCGTCACGTGGGCGCGTTCTCAACGGCGGCGCAGGAGATCCTGGCCGAGTCGGTGCACGCGGCTTTCAACTCGCTGGTGCGCTGCATCTCGCTGGAGCTGGCGCCGGCGATGTCGCAGTTCATGGCCGACGCGGACGAGCCGGCCAAGGAGGCCGGCGTGCTGCAGATCTTCAGCAACAGCATGGCGCTGCTGCGGCGCTGCCGCGTCAACGCCGCGCTAACGATCCAGCTGTTCAGCCACCTGTTCCACGCCATCAACGCCACGGCCTTCAACGCGCTCGTGAGCAACGGCAGTCTGTGCGTGCGCTGGTTCGGGCGGCGACTGAAGACGCGCCTCAGCGCCCTGGAGACCTGGGCCGAGCGCCAGGGTCTGGAGCTGGCCAGCCAGTGCCACCTGGCCACCATCATGCAGGCCACGCACCTGCTGCAGTCGCCCAAATACAACCCCGAGGAGTTGGCCGCGCTCAGCTCCAGCTGCTTCAAGCTCAACTCGCTGCAGGTGCGCGCGCTGCTGCAGAAGTACCAGCCGGCCGCGGACGAGCCGCGCCTGCCGCCCGAGCTCATCGAGAACGTGGTCAGGGTGGCCGAGAGCGTGGCCGACACGCTGGCGCAGGCCGACGGCCGCAAGATCCGCCTCGAGGAGGAGCCCGCGCTCAACCTGGCGCTGCTGCTGCCCGAGGACGGCTACAGCTGCGAGGTGATACGCGGCGTGCCGCCGGGTCTAGCCGAGTTCCTGGCGCCGCTGCAGCGCGACGGCCTCTGTCGTATGGCCCCGCAGCCCACTAGCAGCGGCTTTTGGACCATCTACATGATCGATCACGGCGCTGTCAGTACCCCCTTCGATAACCCCCCTCTGCTTTGCCTCGCTCACGCCGGCGCCACTCTTACCTCTGTCTCTGACTCTTTGCTTCCCTCCCGCCGCCAGTTGATGCGCAGCGCCAGCGCCATGAGCAACAGGTCCGCCGGATATCCCGCGCACGCGGCGCCCGCCCAGACTCAGCCCGAGATCCAGATCATCAAGCTGCACAAGTCCACCAACGGAATGGGCATCAGCATAGTTGCCGCCAAGGTACGGCTCAGTTTCTCTCGCGACTCTGTCGCCCTTCTAAGTCGCGCCTCGACGTGTTTCAGGGAGCAGGCCAGGACAAGCTCGGCATTTACATCAAAAGCGTGGTGGCCGGAGGAGCGGCCGACGCCGTAAGTTATACCCCCACTGCTTTAGCGAACGATCGCGGCCGACGGCCGACGGCCTCGCGTCAGGCGATCGATGTAATCGGAATTTCACGTTGCAGGACGGTCGATTAGCAGCGGGCGATCAACTTCTCAAAGTCGACGGCCAGAGCTTAGTCGGTATAACTCAGGAAAAGTGAGTGACTGCTTTCGTCTGCTCTCGAGTCGTCGCTCCAGAGCCCCTCTCCCCCTCCCCGTCCTCACTTCGCTATCCCATCACCGACAGCGAGCTATCAAAACGACGGATAATTTTTTCGCAGAGCTGCCGAGTACTTGGTTCGCACAGGACCTGTGGCTACGCTGGAGGTAGCGAAACAAGGTGCCATCTATCACGGTCTGGCGACGCTGCTCTCGCAGCCTTCTCCTATAATGGCCAGAGGTAAGTAGCTCGCGGCATACAGTGGGAGAGGGCAATCAGGGATTATGGCATATAATTCAATTGACCGATACGTAGAGAGCCAAGCACTCGCGTTGGGAAAGGGTGCAGCTATCGGTCTATTATCATCGCTATGTAAAGCTTCGATTCCTTATCTGCTTGGAACGCCTTTCTTTGCTCAGAGCTTTATCTAAAATCGCTGACAGTCGCGCGCGACAAGGTGTGACCTTGCGGGATACAGCGGAAAGAAAAGCACATCGGCTTCGCTTGTACAACATTGGGCAGTTGGATACTAATGCTTGAACTAACAATTTCATTCCACGCAGCCTCTAAAACACGACCCAAGTCGGAACACTTTGACCCACCGAGAATGACAGAGGTGGCTTCGGGCCATCAGGCTAGCACCTCGGCATCGCACTCGATGGGCAATCTGTTGACGGTGCCGCACCACGGCGGCGCACAAGTCTACCAAGAGCAATACGTCGACAGTTGGGATCCACAGCCAGGTGCGAGTATGAGCCGCGTCGGTAACTGCGTGCCCCACCATCGCGCGAACACGAGTATGCCCTACCGGAATTACGTGTCCGCGAGCGCAAACAGCCCCTACCAGCTCTACCCGCAGCAGCACCGACTCGGCAACCATGCGCTCGTGAGGGCCGGCGCTCGCGGCGGCTGCACCGAGCTGGCCGAAGTCTACGTCGACCCCGAGGCGCTGCACTACGAGACCTCGCCGGCGCACGCGCTGGGCTACTGGGCGCCGACCGCCCAACACCGAGCCCCCGTCATTCCGGTCGTTCACGAGGCCGGCAATCACGCGTTCCTAACCATTCCGAGCCAGTACACCGAGCGCTACCCCACGGGCTACGCATCCGCCCAGATCCACTGCAGTGCCGCGCAGCAGCAAGAAGCCCACCCGCCTCCGCCACCGCAGTACCGAGAACCCGGGCACTACGGCTACTATAGCCATGACAAGACTGAGCTGGTTTTCCCGGCGGTGAGAAGTCGCGACGAGGATTACATCCAAGTCGTCGACGATCGAGCCGAGCTCTGCTGGAGCTCGACCTCTTGCCACGTACAGCCTCGGTACGGTTGTCGAGCCGCCGGCACCAGCCAGCAGCAGCAGTTGACCGAGCACGCGAACGAACTGGAAGAGGATCAGGAGGAGGACGACGAGCGGTCCGCGGACAAAGCCACCTCCACCGAGGAGAACACGCAGTCGGCGGGCACCCGCGAGAATTCTGATAGTCCGTCGCTGGAGACCGAGGCCACGGTGATCGCCACGCCCAAGCTTCACGCGGCCATGCCCGAGCTGAACCTCGACCTGAGCGGACTGAACAGCAGCGACATGTCGAGCGACGAATCGAGCGCCGGGGATAAGTATCGGAAGTCGCCAGAGGCGGTTCGTCTCGGCTGCGGTAGAGTAGCTGCTCTGGCCAAGCACTTCTCACAACTTGGCGAGGCGGGACTGATCAAGTTCAAGTCGCGGAAGCTCGCCGGCTCCCGGCAGTTTTTGTCCGAGCCCGACATCGCCTCGCCTTCCAGCTCCGAGACCAAGAAACGCGCGCGAGCCTGCATAGACAAGTTCAAGTCTGAGAGCGACTTGTTTCAATCGGACAAGAGCGTGTCCACTGGTCCGGAAAAGGAGTGGAGTATGATTTTGCTGGATATCCAGGCCAAGAGTTTAATACAGTGCGAGGAGGGAGCCGAGGCGAGACTAGCGACGGGAAGTCGCAGCGAAGACTGTCGCCGCGAGAACAAAGGCTACGACCACGCGAGCAGTTCGAAGCTGAGCCTCGCCGAGCAAGAGCAGATAATCGAGCAGCTGAAGGAGTTCGCGAACCTCGACAACGTCGACGCGCCGCTCTTCGTCCCCGGTAAGGAGGCGAGCCGGCTACGAGACAGCGAGACGATGACGGACTCGCCGCGCGACGAGCCCGCCATGGAGCAACGATCGAAGCAGTCGCGAGCACTGATCTCGGGTAGCGTACGCCTCGAGCACTTTCGCAACCACTCGCTGCCCACGATTCTCAGCACACTCAATGTTTATCCGGGGCGCAAGTGCAACGGCTCGGCGGCCACGATTGCCAGCGGCGGCGGTAACGGCAGCGCTGCGCTCACTGCCAAAGGTACCAAAGTCAACAGCCTGTCCAAGTATTGGTCGCTCAAGGATCTGGCTTCGAACGAGGAGCTCGACTCGAATAACACCAGCACTAACGACATCTTCAACGACCGCGCCGACAGTCCCGGCCTCAAGTACGCCCCGGTCTTCCCGAGCTGCTCCAGGGTCGTTTCCGCACCAGAGATATCCGACGAGCACCTCGGCGGAATCACCATCAAGAGCACTACATGCATCAATCGACGAAGAAGTGACGAGAGTGCCTCCTCATCCGTCAGTTCATTCCGTTCCACCGTCAGATTATCGAAGAGCACCAGTGATATATCCAGGCGTGACGACGATCAGCAGATCGACGACGAGGACGAATACGACAACGAGAACGAGGAAGCGTCTGCGACTCCGGGGCTGAACGACAGCAGCAGATCGTGGGAGAAACTGGTGCACACGTGCGGCAAGGGGCAGTCGAAGGGCAATAAACTGGTGGTGCTCGGTAGCGATAGATCGACGAGCGATGTGGACGTGACGGAGAGACAACCGACTCCAAGATTCGAGCGTGGAATAGGCGACTGGGTGTTTCGACAGCATCGGCATCACCATCACCAGTGTACGGAATCGCGTAAGCTGACGGTCTCAACTCTGCAAGCACTACTCGTCAGAATTGTGTGATCGTCTCGTAGTGCACCTGAATGATGGCCTGGTTCAGTTTCACCTTTCAATGAGGTGTTCGTTCGATTATATCACCTTCCCGTTCCGTTTCTTTTATAGTTTTTCTAGATGTTTTACTACGGTTTCGATCGTCCAATAGCCATGCGTTTAAATATTACGTATTAATTTAAATGATTATTTAGCTTTAAACAGCCTAGCGGTCGCATGAGACGTACAATCTCGAACAATGTTATTTTTCGCTTTACATTTTTTGTTAATAGTTGTATATCGATGTTGTGATATGATAGATTGTACGTTTTATGATATCTCACATTCATGCAATCATAAATCATCAATGCCAATAATATTAAAAAATTTAGACGAGCTTCAAGTATAAATAGAATTAACATTTATAATATATCCATATACACACGTACATATAATGAATGTCATTAGAATGTAAATGTGTAAATAGGATTGACGTGTCGTGCATGCATGAGCAAACTCGACGATTGATCTCGACACGAAGATATTGTGTCAGTAGGACTTAGCGGAATGCTTAGCGCCGTTCGCACGCGCATGTGACAATTAGACGTTTAATGTTGTGCATTTGTTCTTGTGCATCTTGTTGCGCGCTTCTCCATGCGCAGGTCCCCGTCGCATGAGCGAACGTGATTTGCCGTCGCGCTTGGGACACGAGCCGCCTACTCCGCAGCAAATACACAGCAGTAAATCCGTTCCCGCTCTTCACAGTAAGTACATCAGAACCAGCCTCGCTTCACCCGCCTCTCACCCATTCTCACTCGTTTACACGCGCTTGACGTCGACACCCCTTTCCTTTCTCACACTCAGCCACACATACGTACACATCTACACCCTGCTTATGCTTTATCACTCGCGCTCACTCACTCACACCGCACACGCACACGCATACACATTTGCAACAATTATAGATACACGAAAGTGTCTGCCTTCGTGCCCACCTGCCCGTTCGCTCTCTTCCTATCTCTCTCTCTCTCTCTCTCTCCCTCTCTATAACGTGAAACTTGGACAGATGTAGGAACCGAAGGCAAGCTTCAGCATGAAGTTTTCAACCCTGGATACAGCAGAGCCTCCTCCAGTAACAGTGTCACTCCGCCGGTCCAACCTCCACCGATGCCTGCTATGAACGGGGCCACTTCTCTGCGCTCCAGGTACGTTTCCACATCTCTCTCTCTCTCTCTCTCTCTCTCTCTCTCTCTCTCTCTCTCTCTCTCTCTCTCTCTCTCTTTATCTGGCATAGCTTTGTTATCACGCTCTAGATTACTATTTTTTATTTGTTTGTTAATGTCTGTGCGCGTGGCCTTAGATCCAGTCACAATTTGCATGATCCAAGTAGAGCTGGTGCCTTACCATCAAGCGGTCTTTCCAATAGACAACAATCGTCTCCAAACCTCCCGCACGGCCAAAATCATATGCAAGTTAACGAAGCGGAGAGATTCTATCAGAACTTGAGCGTTTACCGAAATCAAGAGCCCATGTTAAAGCAGCAGCCGAGTCCTCCTCAATCATCTGACGACAGGTACTGTTCCTCGGATTAAATCTATCGGGTTAATTACCAAAGTGTGACAATGTCGTCTCTTTCTCTCTCTCTCTCTCTCTCTCTCTCTCTAGAAGTCCAATGCAGATGCAGAAGCCACTATCGCGAGGCTCTGAGAACGCCTTAAACAGAACTATACCTGAACAGGGCAAAGACAGGCCAATGTCCGCCTACATGAATCCTAACCAGCAGCAAGGCCACCCCAATCCAATGCAACCGCAGCAACAAGGCCCTCCGGTCAGATCTCAGTCTTCGCGGGATATTATTCGGCAAGAAGCCAAATTGCAAGAGATGCAAGAGGAAGTTCGTCGTCGAGAGCTGAGGGGAGGTGCTGGTCCGGCTGGAGTTCCACCGGGAGCACAAATGGGAGCTTACCGTAGCAACACCTACAACCCACGAGTTGGTCCAGCTCAGATTGGCTTCCAGCAAAATTCGATTCGTCCAGGTAGGCCTCTTGGCTCGACGCCCAATCTCGGACCAACATCACCGAACTACAATCGGCCGCCTGGTCAGAACATCGGCTATCTGCCGGACCAGCAGCAACAGCATCAGTATAATCAATACGGCCAGTACAACAAACAAATGCTTCAAAATCAGTACGGCCCTTCCATGATAGCACGGCCCTACGGTCAAAACGGACCACAGTTCTCAAACGGATCCGAGCATCCAGACGGCATGGACATGATGAGCGAACAACCGCCTTTGAGACCCTCGCTGCCCATTGCGAGTGGAAGTCCACCGCCGCCGGTACCCAATACAATGACACATCCTCTCTACAGCAAGCAAATGGATCCCTCTTCAAGGTAAGTTAGCAGCAGACGTGGTATCATAGGATTAGCAGGAACGCGAATTCTAGGCAGCTGATTAATAGTGACCTTGCACACCTACACAGATATACTGCAAGCATGCAGGATCCTCCAAGAGGTGGTTACTATCCTACAACTTCTGGAAGTGCGCAGCAACCGCGTCAGTATCAGTTCAGTGCCACTAATCCGTGGCAGCGGGAAGAGAGAGAAAAGGTATCGTTGAGCAAGGAAGGAGGTAGGCTTTGCTATGCAAGATTCAAATATTAAAGAGGAATATTGCGTTTCAGGAACAAGCGAGACGCAGAGAAGCCGCGAGACAGTGGCGTGACCAGCAGATTGCCGAGCTCAGCGCCATGCCTCGTCGAACTGCTCAACAAGACGAGCAATTGCGGGCCCTGCAATTGGAGCGAGACTTTCAGAAGCGCGCTGAGGAGGCGGCCAATCAGCAGGACGATGACGAGGAGGGCAACGATCTCGAAAGTGAGAGTACTTCTCAACGTGTCCAGGATCTTCTACGCACTACTACTGCTCAGGATCGGAACAGTCAGCTAAACAGCCAACGAGATCCAATCGGCCTCTCGCGAACAAGTACTGTGAATCAATCGGGCAGAGGTCCTCCCATGTCACCGCAGGCAGTCACCAGCCAAATTCAAATGACCAATGTACCGATCCACACAGTCTCCAGTCAACAGAGCTCCATGACGAATAATTATCCTGGCCAAAACGACGCACCAAATAATATCGCTGCCGGTTACATGTCGCAGAATCCGAATATGAATAACCAGTCGAATGTTTCCCCGTCTTACGGCTCGTCCAATCTTAATCAGTCAAATGCTAGTCAAAAAGCGAATATGGCAGCCGCCGCTCAGAACGAGGAACGAGAAAGAATACGTAGATTAGAAGAGTTAAAGAGACAGCAAAACGAATATGATGAGAGTCAGAGAAGGCAGAAACGAGAAGAAGAGGAGGCGGCACGACAGCAACAGTTGCAGCAGCAACTTTATCAGCAGCATCAGGCTAATATGCGCAATCAGTCACAGTTGCATCCTAATATGCTCAGATTGGACAATCTTGTCATTGAAGACTCTAGTTCTCCTGGTAAAAGCTCATTTGTTAAATTATATAATACATACCCAAGCTATTTACTTGACTCACTTCAAATATTCGTTTGTTTACAGCGTCGCCAACTGGTAACGAAGCACCTCCACCACCAGAACGTGGTTCTAGCTACGCGGTAATGTCACAGCAAAGTGCATTACGATCAAATACCTCGACTACTTCCAACATTTTACTTGGATCACAAGCTACGACAATGACAAAGAGGGTTTCGTTCCATGACCCTAATGCCAATACTGAATCACCGTCTCGAAATAATAGCTCCAATACATCGAATATAATCACGTCTTCATCCATAACCATGGACACTATCAGGGAAGACCCAAACGTAAGCGTTTGCTTAGTTGGCTTTCTATAAATATATATGAAAAAAATCCAACTAACAAACCATATCAAATTCATTAACAAGTATTATATATAGTAGAAAATATAAGTATCAAAATCATCGTATGGCAGATGAATGAAGAGAGGTATACAGAGGTTTCGATGGACAATTATTGTTCATCGACTACCTATTTATTCTCTGCATGTGGCAATGTTATCCCATATCAATTTAAGCTGTAATTATTCGCTCATCATACAAAATTGTATACATTGTCATTGCCATCATTGCAAGCGTGTATTTTATTAAATTTGACCGCATATTTGCTCATTTTTTTATGTGTGTGTTCCTTTATTGATTGTTATTATCAGAAAACAAGACGATCGAAACCATTCTGTAGATATTTATTTTAGATTTGTATTTTATGTGTTATGCAAAAGTAGATACTTGTTGTTCACCCAATCATTGTACAATTCTAATTGCCGATTTGTTCCACAGAACTTCATAAACGATGCAGAGATGTTATTGGCTTCTCCGAAAACACCAGAAGGTCCAGGAAGTATATTTCAAGGAGCGACACCTGGCGTGATCGGCGCTCAGGAAGTTTATAAGTAAGTAATGTGAAAGCAACAAACATAATAACGGTCATTCGTTTCAGTCGCCATAATAGACATACGTATTTATGTTGCAGGGATCCCAGGCAGAGGCGCTTGGCTGAAAAACAAAGGCAACAACAAAATTCACAAATGGGCGCTGTTCCAGAGAAACTGAGTTTCAAAGAGAAGATGAAAATGTTTGCCATGGAGACAGGAGAAGATAGTACCCCGAGGGACAAAGTGAAAATTTCAAGAGCTCAGCGTGAAATCGATAATATTGGAAATCCATTGAGTTCCAACAATAACAATTAATTGTTATTATTGAAATTTATTATGTAAATATTGAATACAGTTTAAGCATGTGCTTGTAGGCACGACAATCATGATAGGATCATCAAGCACATATGTTACCGTTGTAGTTTCGAGATTCAGGATGAAGGCTATCTTTTTGTTATTGTTGACGCGAGCAAAAGTATTGCAGTTTTTGTTTTTTAATAAGTATGTACGATATATAAATAGCGCAAGAAATATTGAGCGTTAATATTTGAAATATTATGATAGCTACAATTGAGGGCACGTTTTATTGAATGTTTGCTGTATTTCATATGAAAAACTTTAGTTTATTTTAATCTTGTACCTTACTGCAAGTATTAGTATCTTATAATCACAGTTTTAGTTATTTAAAAAGTATTGATTTATTTTTTTAATCATAAAAATATTTTTGTTTTTAAGGACATTTAATAAAAATAATTTTATGAAGTTTAATTTTGTATTTTTTTTACACGTAAAAGTAGCTTCGTTGAATGAAACCGTTGAAGAAATAAAATATTTATAATGTATTTAAAAAAATCAGATAACAGGGTCGTTTTATGGTTTATTTACTCGTATAATTCGTAGTACTCATATACGTGGATGGTTTGAAAAATATCTCTAAATAAAAGTTATATGACAAATTCTTTTACTCTAAATTTTGTATGCAAAGAGGATTTCATAATTATTTCAACTGTCATCGTAAATTACATGCAACCTTTTTCGTACGCGATCCAAAGAGCATAATATAACAAATTGATACGATTTATAAGCAGTTTTGATTCGTATTATATGAGTTTTATTAAAATCATCTACGTATAGTAATGATGTAACATATCACTCGATGTAAATACTCGAATCAAAAGAGTTGATGACGCAACGATCGCGGAATCTCAAAGATAAAAAAGTCATTTGATACTTAAATTTACAAGAACAAAAATATTAGATTTGTGACTCAAATCAGAGCTTGGCACTGATAACTTGAAACTGCAGATTAAAATGGGACCTAAATATAAATTTAAAAATACCTATACGTATATTCCGTACGCTTAAAGAACAATTTTCTTATTTGTATAAATGTTACTTATTTATACACATATTTTATAACAAGTATGTCATTTATACATGATGTTTCGATCACAATAATAGATCTCTTGTTGCTATTCTTCCTTGATATCGAATTTTGCATTACCTAATACAGTGATAAACGTTTTGATATTTTAAAAATTTTAAACAGTCAAATGATGTCTAATATTTTGATTAATGTAAAAAGTTGCATAAGGAACTCCGAATTTATCTCAAACATTAACCTGTGGCATTATGCAAAGTTAGTGAATAAAAAACAGTATAAAATTCCTCTGCAAATGGGAAGAAAAAGGATAACTGAAAATCAAATGAAACGCTGCAAAATAGTTATAATCAGTAGTAAATCTATTTATTAATCGTATGTTGATTCAAATTCCAAGTATGTATTTGCAAATATCTATATTATAAATGTTCGGTATATATATCATAAAATAAATAGATTACTTAGGAATCTGTGCAGTGCCGCTTTCAGCCAAGCATACAGACTTACATAGATCTAAGTATTACATTTATATTATTATAGAACAAAATAAAAGCAAGTTACTCTACACTGAATGTTTAAAGTAGATTCAAGAGAAAAAAACACGATAATATCTGGGCACAACTCCAAAGAGCCTGAAGCCCAAAAACAAATCATAGCAATATTAGCTTAAAGATGTTAATTATGAAAACAAATTATGTACATGAGAATAGAAATTAAGTTGCAGCGATCAAATTAACGTTTTATATTATCTCGAAAAGTTTCAGTCTTCTAGACTGCAAACGCAATAATCTAACTAGCGTAGATATATGTTTTTAGCGTCTTTTCCAATAACGCAATAGCCATAACAGTTTATGAAAAATATTCCTCGCGATTCAACGAAAATATTCATAAAGGTGAACAGAAATATCGACGAAGAATTTTAATAGTAACGTACGTTTTTAGCCTAAAGGAACATCATGAGTAAAAGAAGAGAAGAGGCACTATTATCGAGTCTTATTAGGCAAATCATTTATCATGTTATTAAACCACTCAATGGGTTGTCTGTTAAAGTGAAATCAATTTCCAACAGAGCGCAAATCGTATACAAAATTAAATATAAAAAAGAGCACGTTATTTGTTGTGTAATTAACTAGTATGGTCCCGGTCACTACTTTAATGGTCTCACACTTCATAGACCATTGTAAATCATTTTTATTTTCATTCTTTTGGGACGAAATGTAAAGAATAGTGTTACAGTTTTACCGTAGCAACGTACTATTTGCAGCGTTAATGAGTAGCCTAAATTCGTTGATTGTATCGAGATCAACGGTCGTATATCAAATCGAGTGCGAATTCAATAAAAAAGTAATCTTTTCTTGTTTGGTGGATACGGGTTTTGAAAATTGTAGAGCGGATACGTTCTGAATATTGTATGTGATATATTATAGGCCTTTCTTTCAGAGTGAAAGATTATCTAGTATGTTTATTCCGCAAGGGTGTAAATTGTGATGGTTTAGAAAAACGTTCAACAATTGATTGCAACCGCCTCAGCATGCACGGGACATAAAAATGTTTATTGCTTGTTTCTTCTTAATTTATTACTAAATGTGTATAAAGACTTTTTTAATATTGTAACAGTTTATAGAGATTGAAAAAAAAGAGGTATGTATCGAGTATGTAGCTGTTATTACGTTTTAGAGAAAGAAGCATACGATGAGTCGATAGAGGGAAAAATTGATGATATACAAAATATAATGGTTGTTGCTGTGTAATTGTGAGCCCGTGTAAAGTAAAAGTAAACAATTAATGGTCATTTTTTCAGGTCTTAAGCAGAAGGTAGATTCAATTGTGAACCTTAATAGAACTTATTTATCAGTTTCACGTTCTATGTTTAGAAGCAATGGAAAGATAATCATTTGTTATGTTTCGTCAATCACAGTTATTCGGGAGATTGTATTGCGAGATTTTAAAAAAGAAAAAAGGTTGTGCAACAAAAAACGAAAGATCGAAAAGATATGTATAATAATTAAATATTAGCACGTATTCACTTGTAAGTAAAAGTTAAGTTTAGACACGCCGAGAGATAGTGAACTGGAAAGCGAATGAGAACGGTTTCGTCCCTCTTTGTTGTGTATAGCAAATGTATTTGCACTATATTTTTTAAGACTTTTCAATTGTCACTAGATGATTCTAATGAAAGAGCGACGAGGTAGATTCCTTTTCGAAACGCGCGTCAATGGATTCTTCTAATTACTAGGTCTTACTAGGTCGTATCTACAACTATAATGTATATCATTGTACTAATGGTAGAAAACACTATATTTTTTAATGATTGTTCATCGTGTCATTACGCATTATTTAAATATGATATTGATGAAAATTTCAATAAATAAATATCGAATACATTGATTATTGTTGTATAATTGAATCCCGCATCGATCACGAATCTGTTTAAAAAATTGTGCTTGAATTGGCAGCACATGCGCGAAAACCACTTGGAAGGAAACTCTAGATGCTACATACACTTGCATAAAATGGTGCAACACATACAGATTTAGAGTTGCAAATGTATATGTATGTACGGGATGGTGCGCGCGCAGTTATTGGTGTTTCGAGAACGCAGCAGTAGCAGTCGCGGACCAGGAGAAACTTGCGCGTATGCAGGTCTCGACACATACACATATAAATATATACGCACGCACGTACCACACACAAACGTGTCCGCGCGACGACGAGTTTGTTCGCGCTCCGGCAGAACTAGTAGCAGCATTCGTGTGCATTCGTGCGCGAACCGGTCGAGCCAACGGACACTCTGACGCTGTTACTGTTCCCTAATCATTTATCTCTGAATCCCCAGCCTTCTTCTGCAAAGAAAAACCAATCAAATATCGCCAAGCACTCGATCGTCGTGATAAATTCGCACATTCGTACAGCAGCCACTGTAGGCAGGCAGAGCTGTGTGCTTTCAGCAGGCAGGAACGAAGGGGTTTAAGGGAGCCGGCTCTAACTGTGGACTCCCCCAGTGGTGTTTCTATTGGAATCTCTGTGTGCAGTTTTGCGGAGCATCTGCTATTGCCGGTGCATCAAGGCGTTGATTGCGTCGACAGTAGCAAGAGAAGGAGGTTGTCTCGCCGGGCAGTACTCGGCAGCAGCACTTTGACCAGACAGTCATTTTAAGGTATAAGCTAACGGTTGTTCAAACGTGCTTTTCGCGTTCCGGCGATAATGGCGGACGTGAATACTCGTGAGAAAGAAAGAGTACGCCTTCGCCGTTCGTCGCTCCTTCCCTCTCTCTCTCTCTCTCTCTCTCTCTCTCTCTCTCTCTCTCTCTCTCTCTCTCTCTCTCTCTCTCTCTCTCTCTCTCTCTCTCTTCTCTCTCTCCTCTCTCTCCTCTCTCTCTCTCTGTCTTTCTTGTAGGCTAAAAATATCTACGGTACGCCTGTCTTTTGTCGGCACTCACCCTCGTGCTCATCAACCGCTCGTTCTACTCCTTTCATCCAACTGTCGTGTGACGGACATCCCCCTTTCAATCCCTTTATTCTAGGTACAGACGTTTTAACGACCGTGTACTCATATGGACCAGCCCCTAATATCAAATCATCGGTGCTAAATACAACTGTTTCCGTAAGTTCTTCGTGCGAATATAGAGCGGAAGCACTTATGATTCATTATTGATGGAATTTTTGGAAATTTTTTATCTCGACAATTCGACATTCGTAGATACCATTCCGCAAATTTTTTCGTTGTTGTCGACGTTATTTTTTGATTCATCGTAATAAATGTGCTATCTAGAAAAAAACGGTTTCGCAAAACACTTGCGCTTGTACGTCGTATTACAGCTTGGTGTACTTTGCTGCGATCGATGATATTATGGCTAAAACAGGATACCGCTACAGTGAATATTTGACGAGGTTCACGCGCCGTGGAAAGCCGAATTTACCGCGTGGGCTCGATAAGACCTCTTTTACTTGGCCGGGTCTGTTGCCATATACGCGCAGTCGAATTGATGAGAGACGCGCGCTTTATCGTCTCGATACGTTATCTAATTGACAAAGTGTGTCACAGTTGCGCTAATTGCACTTACGGGGAAAATTTATGCGGAGTACAGTCGGTTGTCCTGTCTGACGTTGCGAATTGGCTGTTTGTTCTCCTTTGCTCGCGGCTCGCAATGTTTACATTCTAAAAGAGCGTTCGAGCTCAATGTCATTTCGCTCAGATTCTTGTGTGTACACAGTCGCGAGAAAGATCGCGCTGTAGTCTTGTTCTTGAAGCCAAGGGGGTTACGTGGCCAATGGGGGTGGCCGGCTCTACCCAAGTGCATTTGATGTACTCTGAGCTGGCTCAATTACGAATTTCAATGTCGGTTTATCCACAAATGCACGAGTAAATTAGTTGCAAACAAATTAAACGCTTAAATAACCATAAAAGATTTATCAGTCGTTCCAGTGACATTGGGAAATATGCCATGCATTCGCTATCTAATAACGAGTGCACCAGTTCTTTCAGAACTGAAAAATGTTGGACAGAACTTGAGGTATTGAGATTCCAACAATAACACGGGATAGGCAGCGCGAGCGCGAATGAGCAAGCCAGGCAGTCGACGGAACCATTGAACTAAAATTACAGTATCGCAAGTTTGTTAAATAGTATCCGGATCGGGAAAAGTCTATGGATTGGTCATGAGGCGAAGAATGCATGGCCATTATTGAAATATCGCTGAGTCAATTGATAAGCAAATTATGGCCGTTTAAACAATTGAATTGTTGACCACTGATTATTTGTTGATTTTCGAGCAAATCACCGACGAAAGACGTGTTTTGAGCAGCTGAAAATACATGAAATGTAATTAGGTGCAGTGCACCCAATGTAAAATAGGCCAGCAATTTGAAGGGCCGATTGTGTGCGTTGTTTGGCTGTGCACGCTCTCGCAACGTGCTCTCGCGGCGCTCTACGATTTGAGAACAGGTTTGGCGCGGCGGACACACACCTCGAGCTTTTTCCTGCGGTCTCTCTCTTTCTCTCTCCCTCTCTTTCTCTCTCTCTCTCTCTCTCTCTCTCTCTCTCTCTCTCTCTCTCTCTCTCTCTCTCTCTCTCTCTCTCTCTCTCTCTCTCTCTCTCTCTCTCTCTCTCTCTCTCTCTTTCCGCAAGACAATTGGCGTCGCCGAGCCTGAGCTGGCACGTGACGTCGCTCAGGTGCGAATGACATTTAACCAGTTCGACATATATCTGCGAATCCGGAGTAAGGACGTTTTCCTCAAACGCTCGGCGCGCGATCGTCGCATGCCAGTTGGACGAGGCTGCAACTCGCGTCTGATCGGTCGATCGCTGCAGCACCTGCGGCGCGCGCGGCATCGCAGGGCCGAAGGCAAAGGCCACGTCTCGAGAGTCAGCGGGGCGGGTTCGTCGTCGCTCTCGCCAGCCAGTATTCTTCGCCCGGATGGCGCTACTTTGAGCAGCCGGCGTGATTTACGAGCGCGGAGCGCCGCGTCGCCCCAGCCGCTCGGCGTTGCGCAACCACAGCCCGCCAATCGCTTCCTTTTGCGCAATGTTAGCCTTTGTCTCGCGATGAGCTTGTCGAGGAAATTTGGTGACGCTCGCGCGGGTGTGCGGCGGCGGACGGGCGGAATGGCGTCGGAGTCGAGTGACGCTTTTTAATCGAAACCCCGCCGATAATGGCACGCAAGTGGAAGTCGAGACGAGAGCGCTATCAGTGCGGAAGCTCGTCGTATGACCGAGCTTGAAAAAAAATACAAATGAAATAAATAAATAGCGAACGGCGTTCGGCTGCCAAGCGACGAACCGGCCGAATCGTGCCTTTTTGTCGGCGCTGCGTGGGCGGAGCGGAGCACCGCCGAAAAATCAATTTCCGTCGGCGCGAGCGCTGCGGCACGCCCGCGTGCGACTCGGGGTGGACACGGGCGTCGTTGCCGTTTGATCGATCGAGCGACAGAGAGAAGGGCTCTCGCGCGAAAGTCTGCCGGGGCGACGGGGACGGACAGAGGCCTCGGAAGTAGGCCTCGCGAGACGCGTTGGCCGCGCGGGCCTTCGAGGGGGGCGCGGAAGCGTCGGCCACGCCGGCCGGGAGCCTCGGGCGATCTTGGCGCGCGCCTCTCGAGTTTGGGCGCCAGGCGCTGCTCCGCGCGCTTCCTTGCCCACCTTTTCTCCTGAACAAGTTCCTGCGAAAGCTGAAGACGAGGCGCCGATCGCGCGGCGAGTCCGTCGACGAGCCGCGGCTCTCGCTCGCGCTGACTTGCGTAACTGGCTCGGCCGTCGATTTCCCAGTTCGCGTGGCGGACGCGACTGAGAGCTGCGCGTGTGTTCCGCGCGCCGTCCCGGGTGACGCAACGTCGTTGGCGCGCAACGACCGCGGCCGCGAATCCGCGAGGACGTAACGCGAGAGGCCAACAATGGGGAAGCGGACGAGGAGTAATCGATCGCCGCGCGCGCTCTCGCGTTACGGCATTTTTCCGCTGGCCCGACGGACCGCGAGAACCGCCGGCTCGGCAAGCCGGCCAAGGTCGGAGATCGGTCGCACTTTCTTTGGGGTCGGGACGCCGGAGGTTGCCCGGCCGACTCTTATCGCCGAGCAGATGATTGACGCTTGTGCGCCGCAGTCGGATCGGCACTGGGCGCCCGCTATAGCGGTTCGATAAGCTCCGCCACGCGTCACGCGTTGGCTAATCGTTGCGCGATAAGCGGCGACGCGCTCGCCACCCGATCGGGGGGCTGCTTCTCGCGACCGAGGCCCGGTGAGAGCTGCTTCGTCTCGACGCCCGGGCATCTTCGAGGCCGCGCTCTCTGGCCGCGACTCGACGGCCAGTCGCGATTGCCGTCGCACCGCGCCGGCTGGGCAAAGTACGTACACGCGTATCGACACGTGCCCCCGACCGAGAGGCGGCGGCTTATCGCGGCAGGCACTTCCCCAAACAAGCGGCGACCGTCGCCCCCCGCCGCCGATTTCCCGCCGATTTCCCGCCGTCTTGGCGATCGGCGCACCGCGGACGCAAGCCCACTTACGGCCCGAGACACCTGCGAAAGCTCCTGCATGCGCACACCCGCGCCCCTCCAGACGCTGTTTACACGCGCTATCGGCCGTGCCCGAGACACCGATAACGTCGCTTACAGTCAGCTTTTTCTTCGCCTTCCTCGACCGACGAGCCGCGCACAATGTTGCTTCTAAGAATAACTTGATCGGGCTCAGCCCGCTCCAATTTGCTCGCTCTCACCGCCGAAGAAACAAATCGCCTGTCATCCGGTCGATAACAGCCGCGAACTTGCCGTAGTTTTCCTCTAATTGGCCCGCGTGTACGCTCGCAGGTGGATTATTGATAGCGGTTTAATTTCTGGAAATACACGCTGCGCTCCGATCGAGCTTGCATTGCGAAACGCAATCGCACGATCGACGCGCGAGCTGCTGCTCGCTGGAAAATGTCGGTTCGCTTGCCTGCCTTGCTTTTCTTTTCGCGCCCGTGGAAAGTCAACTTTTTCCGAATTTCCGCGACAGCCGCGGTCGTGCCTGAGAAAAGTTTGACAAAGGCACCAGTCGGAAGGCGTCTCGAAAGTTTTTAATGTCGAATGACTGCGAGAGAGCGAGAGAGGAGAGCGAAAAATCCGAGTTACGTAACGCAGCCGCGCGAGAGCCGGTCGCGGAAGATTGCTGCGCAATCAGTCGATCGAGCGGCTGCGCACGTGGCGGGCATCGCGAGCTGCTGCGCCCGAGCGAGAGGGAAAATTCGTAGATAGCGGCGATCAATTTGTCGGGGGCGGGGGTGGGGGGTCGTCGAGGGGGGTACGTTGGGCGCGCGGTGGGAGGCGAGCCGCAACGCCGGTGGCGAGCGGCGGTCGCCCGCTCCAGCAGTCTGGCTTCGCGCTCCGAGCCGCACGCGAAGCAGCGGAACGGAACCAGCCACACTGCGCACGTCTCTGCGGCGAGGCTCTCGACCGACACGGACGCACAGCGAGCGACGCTCGTAGCCATAGTAGAACTGCGTCACGCCGCCGAGCCCCGGCGATCGAACCCGCGCGACCCCCCGCTGCGAGTAGGTAAGCTCGGAGCCGTCTCTCGCGCGAGCCGCGTCGACGGCCGACGAATAAATAGCGCCGAGGACGCGAACGGGGTCAAAGTGCCGTCGCGTGGGCGTATCGGCGGATCGATAGTCCGGGCGGCGTGCGCGTCGCGTCGCGCGAGGATCGGGGCGCGCAGCCCGCGCGACTGCCGTCGGCCCGCGGCTGACGTCAATGCCGCGCGCGCGCGTCCGACCTTGGCGCGATCGGCCCGAGTCGACCGTCGGCAGAGCGGTCGCGGGTCCTCCTCTGCCGCGAGCGAACCTTCGGCGCGCTGGCCAAGAAGCGAGCCCACGGCGCGACCACGCGCCGCACGCCGCGCACACCGCGCGGGCTGCCGCTGTGGTGCTGCCCGTGCTCTGCTATTTTAGACGCCGCGAGTACCGTCCGTCGACCCGTGCCGTGGCCAGCGGCCATCGCGGCTTTACACACACGCGCGCGGATCGATACAACTCCACTTCGGCGCTGCACTTTCGCGTTACATCAGCGCCTACGGAGCTTCGCCAATTCCACGATCGTCGCGGTTGCTCCACTCGTTGCACGGCTCCCCAGCTGCTTCGGGATGGCATGTAGCGCGCGGGAGCCGTGCTCGTTGCGCTGCTTTCGTTCCTCGAGTCCGCCGACGCTTCGCCCTTGGCCGGCGGCAGGGTAAAGCGCACGAAGCGCGAAGCTGCCGACGCGAAGCAGCCGCGCCGTCGCGCTTACGTAAGCCGCGCGCGACGCGTCGATAAACCCTTCGCGAGGCACCGGCTGCTCTGGCTGCATTGCCCCAATGCGCGGGCCGCGCGCGTTCGTATGCAGGCGCCGCTTCTGGCGGATTTCAGCTCCGGCTAATTGACCGCGTTTTTTTTTTCTCCCGCTCTCGCTGCCGCGCGGCGCATTTCCGTCGGGATGCAATTGCGATCTCGCGTTTCCTTCACCTCCGCTCTTGACCGCGACGAAATTTCGCTTCGCATTAAAAACGCCGCGGGTTAATTATCGTTTGCGCGTGCTCGTCTCGGAATTCGGCGTAGCCTCGAATGAGCCAAATCGCAGCGAGACAAGCGCAATCGAACGTCCGCGCTGACAAGACTTTCCCGATGATCGAGCGACTCGCCGCATTGGCCATCGCGGCCGTGTCACGAGCGTACTTTCGGCCGGAATGTCGCCGCGACGCAAAATGCAGAGCGGTGCCGTGAACGTGGCTCGACGTAACAATTTTTTTTCGTTTTTTTTTTTCCTTCGCCTCGGTTGTTTCTTTTTCTACGCCGCTTGGCTAACGCTCACCCGGCCGGAGAAACGATAATCCGTAATTATCGCGCGCGCATAACCGTTCGGTAGCAGCCGTGCCAAGGCTGCGCGGCGTCGCCGTGTCTATTTATTGTACACACGCCGAGACCGGACTGCCGTATCAGTAGCCGATCGACAGAGATATCGAGCGATCAGGCTGGTAGCGTCCGCGTGGCGTCTGGAGTGCGGGACGAACGATAAATTTAGTGTTAAGCCTCTGCGGCGTACGAACAATTAGTCACTTGTTTTGCTTCGCGAGCCCCCGATAAGCGCTTTTGTTTCCCCCACGGTTTGATCGATCGATCGGCCTCGTCTGAGTCAGATCTGCGCGATCCGTAACGAGAGGCGCGTGCCGGTTCACCCGGAAATGCGCTCCGTCGTTTGCTCTTCTTCCGCAGCCGCGAACGCGACTGCCGATCGCGCCGCTCTGCGTTCGCGGCGACGAGCGGCGTTTCGTTAGGAGACGAGAGCGTTAAAGAAACCGCGACCTCGATAAGCTTATGCACGCGCTCGCCGCGTGCGCGAAAAGCAGCGCGCCCGCGATCGGGCTGCGACCAGCTTAGACGTAAACGCGGTCGAGAGGACCCAACCAACTGACGTGGAATCGTCGCGTTGCAGGTCGGCAAGTATGAGCTACGGCGAGCCGTGGTCGCTTCCGGCGAAGCAGGGTCTCTACGATCCGACGCTCGAGAAGGATGCCTGCGGCGTTGGCTTCATCGTCGCCATCGACGGCAAGCGCTCTCACAAGGTGAGCTCCCGCTTTCCCTTGCTTTCCGCTCGACTCGTCGGTTCTGCCAGCGAAGAGGCGACTGCGACGCGAACGCGAGATCTGCCTGCTTCGGGCCGCTGCGCCGAGCGGCAGCTACCCAAGTGACTTGCACGCTCGACTCAATTGCCTTGTCTTTGCCTCCACAGATCGTTCGCGATGCGGAAACGCTGTCGGCGCGCATGCATCACAGGGGTGCTTGTGCCTGCGACAACGACACGGGCGACGGTGCCGGCGTACTCTGCGCCATACCGCACCAGTACTACGCCGACGAACTTCGGTAAGTATGCACCGGCTTTCCAATCGAGACTTGCATCTCGCTGCCTCGCGAACGATTTATTAACTACGTGCTACTTGATTCTTGTCCACGTTTACTCGAACAATCAATCAATCCCGAGTGCCATTCACAACGACAAAACATTTTCGTTGGCAAGGGAATCTCTTCCATCTTTCGAGATTACTATTATTGAGCGTCGTTAGCGTCTGACGATAAATCAACGCAATAATATCTGTCTGCAAAACACGAAATATTATTTTCACGTGAACGCAATAAATTTGACACTTTGAATTTCGATGTGCTTTTCTTCCTCGTGTCCTATCAAAACAACTGAATTTCTTCGACGAAAAGTCGCTTTCAAGTGTTATCAACGAATCTCGGCAACCAGCAATGATGTTTTTTTTTCTCTCGCTCGTCGTTGCAGAGAGCAGCAGAAAATCGAGCTGCCAGAGTTCGGACGCTACGCCACTGGAATACTATTCCTGGACAAGCATACCCACAAGGAATCGGAGATAGCTTTCGAGAAACTTGCCAAGGAATGCAACTTGCGAGTAAGTTGATGTGACGGTTTTAAAAGTTTTCAACGAAATTTTTAGCTCATGCCTAGTCAATGATTAAAACAACGGATCCAATTAATGAATTCGTATGATTCGCAATTGTTCAATGAGACATTTTTCTTGAAGCCCACAAAGCAATTGCGTTGAGTTATAAGAGAATAACCGTATCGTTCGCGCAGGTAATCTGCTGGCGCGTCGTACCGACGGACAACTCTCACTTGGGCCAAGTGGCGAAGAAATGCGAGCCGTACATGCGTCAGGTGTTCGTGACCGGCGATCAAGAAGTCGAAGCCTTGAACCGCCAGGTAAATATAGCGCTGAGCACACTGAACTACGCCAACCCTCTCTTCCTCTCTCGATTATTCATTCGGTCGAGCTACCCCCTTTGTCGTCTGCGTGCCCACGTCAATTCGAACGCGCACATCTATCCGCACTTAGCTGACCGAAATCGAAACTTGGCGCCTGGATGGTAACTTGGCGCTTTGCCGAAGCTGATAGTTCTATTTTGTAATTCTGAAATTGCCGCGGCTCTTAAGCACTCCTTCCTTCGCTCCGCACCTTGGCATTTCAACTTTAATTGCCAGGAAAAACCGACTCGCAGCTATTTTAATTGCCTCTCGTCATTCATTTAGGTGTTTGTATTGCGAAAGAAGTCCTCGCACCGCATACCCAAGCCCGGCTTGAGGTACTACATTTGTTCTCTGTCCTTGAAGACCATCGTCTACAAGGGACAACTCACTGCTGATCAATTATGGGCTTACTTCACCGACTTGAAGGTACGTACATGCGTGAATCAATCTACCGGAGTAACTCAACTACGCGTTCGACGCTATATTGACCATTCTGTTTCGTTTTGCAGTCGCCAAAATTCGAAACTTACCTGGCACTGGTGCACACGCGCTTTTCCACCAATACCTTCCCAAGCTGGGAGAGAGCTCATCCATTACGGTGAGTCTGATATTTCGAAACTTTCGAGCGTCCTAATTCCATTCGGACAATACAGTGATTTCGGCTTGATTCAAATACAGAATGCTGGCTCACAATGGCGAGATCAATACTTTGCGGGGTAACGTGAATTTTATGAAGGCCCGCGAGGGCGTGATGAAGAGCAGTGTATTTGGTGATCAACTGAAACAGCTCTACCCCGTGGTGGAGCCCAATCTTTCCGACTCTGGTTCGGCCGATTGCGTGCTCGAGTTTCTCGTCATGGCCGGTCAACGTTCATTACCCGAGGTAAGTCTCTTTGCGATACCTTCGTACTTTACCTACGGCCAATTCGATGATTATAAATTGGATCCAATTCATGATTTATTTTGATTATGACTTCACTATGATGAAATTTCATGCTCCTTATTGCTTTTACACTTGCACAGGTAAACAAAGTCATTCTATTGTTTGATTTTTTATCGTTTAGGCTGTGATGACAATGGTACCAGAAGCATGGCAGAATGACTTGACAATGGCTACGGAGAAACGAGATTTTTATCACTGGGCAGCGTGCGCGATGGAGCCGTGGGACGGACCAGCGCTTCTTACCTTCACCGACGGCCGCTACATCGGTGCTATACTCGACAGGTAGTCATTTCACTCCATTTCACTGCACTGTATACTCGATTTTGCTTTCATGAACAGTTTGCACCACATCATCAACGGGATTTGATATATGCTGACCTCTATCATTTGAATATTACCGTTATTGAAATTTGACGAGTCATCAAATTTGGAAGACTATACAGACTAACATAGTACGAAATTTCTTTTGATAAATATCGTTTTGATTTTCACGTCTCTTATCGTCTTATGATGGTGGTCGGATTTTATTCAGAATCTCTGAGCGACGGAGAGCAATTTTAAATAGCGAGTTTGATTATGATTTGTCCCCTTTATATGTTGTTATTTATCACTGCTCTTCATTACGTCAGAATATCACTAGTTTACTATTTAATATTACACTAACCATTGAGAGATTTGAAAGGTGATAAGAGAACGGATTCAAGTGAAAATTTAATGATTCGTCAGGTTGCTAGTTGAAAATGTGATGAATAATGGAAAAATAATAGGAGGTATTAGGTGAAACGACAATTGCTTGTAGTGTTTGAATCTGGCAGGGTTTGATCTTGATCGAGCACCTTCTGCGTCACAGTTTGACACAGTGAGCGAGTAAGAGACAGGAACCCGGAAGAATTCGTACAAGCAATGTCGTTCGCAAACTCTGTGCCAGTAGTTGCAATGATGCGCCGCATGTGCGTTGACACGTGCAACGGTCGAGTAAAGAGAGAGAGAGAGAGTTTGTGCGAATGCCGGCTGGAAAGGCAAACGAACGAACTACGGTGAGAAAAAGAGAGAGAAAGAGAAAATCGAATAAGTAACGAAGCTACAATGTATATCTCGAGGCGATAATTACAGCGCTGCGCTAAAGACACACAGGACCGCTACTACAAAAGACTTTTTTGAATTTTTGTTTGGCAGAAATGGCCTGCGCCCATCGCGCTTCTACGTCACTAAGGATAACATGATGGTGATGGCGTCCGAAGTGGGCGTCTATGACACTCCGCCCAGCAATGTTGTCCTCAAGGTAAACTCAAGGAACTTGAAAAGGCCCAATACTGAAACGGAGTGGAATGAAAGAAAGAGAGAGACACGACCGAGGCTCGAGACAGGCGGGGGCAGAGTCCAGTGTACTATAATGGGCTTCTTGATTGATCAACGCAGCTATTCTTTTCCGCGCACCCCGCCGATTATTACCTAACTATTACTATTCTATTTTTTTCCCGACACATTGATATCTTGGCATCATGAACATCACAGCCTCACTCACCCCCTTTCACTACGACTATCTCGGCACATTCCGAGAGTTTCAGGACCAACACATTCTTGTGGGACGATTCTTTAGCTGCAAGGATTGCTGATAGGGCATTAACTATCTGTTATACTTAACTTATTCCATAATCTTTGATCCCTCCTTAATTTTCGTTCACTCTTTCAATCTTTACTATTTCCCTTTTTTTTTCAATCTGTTTTTCTCTTTGGTCGCGTATTACCAATGTTATGAAAACGCTTCTTTGTGCTGATATTCTGTTTTTATCTGAAAATAATCATTTTTTTCGTCGTTTGATGATGACAATTTCGAAAACTTGTATGTTAACATTGTAAAAACAGAATGTCAATGTTCAATCAAAAAAGCATTTTTACGAATTTGATGCCGCATTGACGAAAAAAATTTCATTATATTATAATTTATTTTTAATCATGTCATGTAATTATAATATATAATTTAATATCATCTAAGGAATAGGTTTGTATAGAGGAGTAGGACCGTCATCCAGTGCTGTCATAAATATATGTTAACAAATTTAGAATTCATGGATACGGGTACTCATGATTGTTTTGTTTTATTTTCAGAGCCGCTTGAAGCCTGGAAGAATGTTATTGGTTGACACCGAAGAAAAGCAAATCATCCAGGACGTGGAGTTAAAATTGAAAATTGCCCGCAGCCGGCCTCACTCCTTGTGGCTGAAAAATCAGGTACTGTTCTTAAGGATAAGCAGTCAATTGACCAAGTAAATTATTTGCAAAAGGTTTTTTTGTTTCAACATTATATCAATTACTTGTACTGTGAATGTCTTACAAATCAGTTGAAAATCACCATTGTAATGTTTAATTTCTCGGTACATAACTGTTTTATAAATCGTATTCCGTTGCCAAAACATGACCAAGACAAGGACTGAAATTATCATTGCTTAGATCAATTGGCAAATTTTTAATTCAAAATCATTTTTTTCAAATTTCTCCATATGCTGACTGTGACTGGTGTATTATAAAGATGGTGAGTGCCGACAAGTGTCATCTAAATTGATATGTGTGTTATTCTTTCTGGTGTTTATCGTGTCTCTAGTTGGTGTTGTATTACTTTTAGTCTGAACAATTTTCGTTTCCGGAAAAGGAGTTTTTTAGGTAATCGATCAAATCTTTCCTTTTTAGGTCCTTCTGAGTCAATATATATTATTAACTTCGGCGCCACACTATAATTTATTGTCACATAGATATAGACAAAAAAAAACAGGAAAATAATATTTAAAAGTTTAAGGATAGTAGATAAAGGTACAATAATTCTCGTTTCACCAGCACCTCATTTATATCGTCAAAATTAAAATAAAACTTCTAAAGTATAAAATTTGGATAAAATTTACATTTTTCGCTCAAAAACTATAAAAAAAAAATTTGTTTTCTAATCGATACAAAACATTTATTTAACAGTTTTTGAGATGACGAATAAGAATCCATTGTTTGAATTGAGCCAAACAATTTTATAACCCTTATATTTAGAAATATTTAAGATTATCAGAGTTTTAGTTCTAATTTTCGTTCTTATGCATCGATTTGCTTGAAATTTGGACAATAGGTGGAGAATATCTGAAGAAATAAATACACCTTTTTATTTATACCATGAGTATTAACCATCAGGTAGGTTTCTACCGCTTTGTAAGGGTTGAAAACATAATTTTGTCAAAATAATCCTGCAAATTGATGGAACAATTATTGTCAAGTTAAAATTATTATATAAAATTTTTTTGATAAACCAATGCGTTTTCCGTTTGCTTTTAGCAAAAAATGTGAATTTTTTCTAAATTTTATATTTTGGGGACGAGTTTTGAGGGTGTAAATAATGTGATGGCGAATCGAAAATGATTTGACCTTAATCTACTACTCTTAAGCTTTTCAATCGTATTTTTTCTTTTTTTCTATCTTTTTCCTAAGAGGCGCTACTTAATATTATTTATACCGAAGTAACAATAAATTATAGTGCGACGTTTCGGGGACGTTTTTAAATCATTCGTCTAAAGGCTACAATAAACGAACGTGTTAAGTTATGCTCATTGAATATACGTTTAGTTATTTGTTACCGCAGGTATTGAGCAAAAGTCACATTCTTGTCTAAATAATTTTTTGCGTGTGTCATTTCTAAGAGGAATCGTCGAAAGTATCGGTTAGCTTTTTGCCAAACGGGAATACACAAATAAGTCTCAGTTTGCATTGATATTTATGCTAAACAATTTTTTTAAATATGTATTTGGAAGACAACTTTATGCAAAATTATTTAGGTAAAACATGAGTTGGTTTGAAAACCCATTAACTCTATAATGTTGCTATTAATCGTTCTCATTTACGCATCTAGGCCTTGCTGTACTTTACCATTTTAATACTAACAATTATAAAGAATTTTTATAAATAGTAGTAAAAGATTTCACTATAGTTTTGTTTGTCAAGTTTTTAATATTGTTAAATAAATAGCTCAATTCCTTTCTAAGTCTATTTCCTTTGAAAAACATGGCAGATTTTTCGATAGTAAGAATCTTGTTACTAACGAACTTAGTAAGGTCTATACCTATAGAAATTTAGGACACATTGCATGTTATGAGTATTGGACGGTGTTTCACAATGTTTCTACAACGTACAGCACTAACAACAATACAGCAATCGACAATAATTATAGTGGTATTATTGAATTTGAAAAGCATGAATGTAGTGATGATATCTGTAATAAATGGTTTATTAACTTAATAAACACTTACATTCCAAAAGATGTTGATTTGATTCGTCTTTATCTTTATTAGAAAACAAATTTTAATTTCACTTACAATTCAAATAAACGTACGTTTTTCGACATTTTTAATAGTTTCGAATTTTGTATAACAGAGAGACCGAACCCAACGAAAAATAATAAATTACGACAAGAGTTGGTTAATATTGTTAATCTTTTTATTAAGAAACGTTTATATGTAGAACATCATGGTACCATCATACTCAACAACACAAAGCATACGACAGAATTTTGAAAGTAAAAAAATATTATTTACAAAAACTACAAGGATAAATAGTATTATTGCTATTGGCAGAGACATTTACAATGGCAAAATACGAACTACAAAGAAATTGATAAGAATCCATTAAACAGGTTAAAAAAATTAGTTAATAATTCGACAGTAAAGTGGATTGAACCAAGAGTAGCAGACTTAAATTCTAGCTTTGACATTAAAAAATTTAACCATAATAACGCGGTTCTGTTTTATGCATATGGCCTTGTGAAAATTTATATGGAAATTTTAAAAGTAATAATCATAGTTTCAATAATTAATTCACTAACATAAATTGGACAAAGTGATAGCTAATTTTTTCAACAAATACAACCATTACCTACCTTGACCGAAATTTTCTTTAAAAAATAACCATGAATTTTTAAAACGTGTGTACATTTAGCTACAGTTTTAATAATTCATCGCTATTCAAAGATTTTATTATTAATAGTAAAAATAAACAGCTATCTTTAGAATACAAATTCTAGCTGAGTACTGCATTCAATTCTGTCAATACAAGTTTAGCAAATAGTAATTGTATATATACAGATCGTGTATATTATTTTCTACCAATTGCTCAAAAACTGAAACAGATAGATGATTCAGATGAAATAGATTGTACTTGCAAACCAAATAATTTGCTTTAAACATGAATGATCCAATATGATTGCATAATAGAATTTCAAAGGTGTATATTATGTTGCTATCGTCATGAAAAAATTTAGTAATACCTATTCCAAATACATTTATAATCAAAATAAGTAAATGTCGGACTTTAGATAAGCACTTAAATATCTATTACTCAGAAAAGGTCTATTATTGTTCATATTGTAAAGGATTAGGAATGGATTGTCAGAACATTTTAGGACCTTACATATAACTGAATGCATAGGATACATATAAAAATTTAGATAGTAATGATTTTGCCATTTATACTAATGTGACTTGCCTATCAGTATATTTTACTATTAAAAATAAAAAATTTATTTTGTGTGGTGTAATTGAATGTAGACTAGAACATTTTCTGGCACAATTATATATTGCGAGATATAAATATTGGCAATAAAAAATTATATGAATGAATTTTCAAATAAATATTACACAATATTCCATGTAACTTTTTTTCAATACTCACGGTAAGAAATTATCAAATGTGTGTCTATTAAATGTAAGTTAACCCATTAACTTTCAAGAATTCTGATTTTTTAGCAAACTTCCAACGTAGTTATTTTTTGTTATCGGCGTTAAACAAAATTTATTGTCAGATATTTCGACGTAGAATTTTATGTTCTTCCAGAATTCGGGCTCAAAATTTAAAAAAAAAATCGAATTTTTTTCTCGTAAACTATTAAATTTAGCGCATGTTATCTAGAAACAAAAATGTCTTACAATTCGTCAAAGAATATTTTCAAATTTTTTCAAAATTTTTAGACGGTTTTTGGTTTTCCAAATGAAAAAAATTAAATTTCCGAAATTTCTTATTCTGAAAAATTGGAGGATACTTTAATCCATTCTGAGATATTTTTATTGTATAAAATTTTTTACTTAACTCAATAACTCAAGTTTAAATCACATAGATGTTCAATAATATTCTTTAATATATTCTAAAATATTTTTGTTCTTAGATCATTTGTGCTAATCTCAATAGTTTCCTAGAAAAAAATTAAATTAGGTTTCTGTAGAATATTTACGTTCTAGTCACCATATTGTAGAAAGGAGTGGTTCAATGATTAAATAAAAATTCATAGTTAAACTATCATTGATTGATTAAACTTTAACTATCGTGATCATCTCTGATCATGATTACAGTATGATTTCTTTACGGTAACATTACAAAAAAAAATCCAGAAAACTTACCGATGAGCAAAAAAATTTTTTCAGATTTTTTCTAGAATAAATTAACTAGTCAACTATAAATTTTTCAAAACATCCATCGTACATAAACAAATAGCTGTAAATAGCTGTTTTTTTAAATTGTCTTGGAAATTAAGAAAAAAAATTAAAACCACCTGCAGTTTTTATTATTTTTTTCTTGATTTCCAAGACAATTGAAAAAAATGGCTCTTTATGACTCTGTTTGTGTACAATGAATGTTCTGAAATAGTTTCAAGTTAACTAATTGATTTTTTTAAGAAAAAACCTGGAAAAACTTATTTTCCTCAGTCGGTAACGCCAATAGAGCCATACATTAGCCTATCTCTCGTCATATTTTCTTTCCTCAATGTCTAGTCAGAATTTTGAACTCGAATTCTGAAAGAACGTTTGCTAAAAAATCAAAACGCTTTGACATCAGTGAGTTAATACGTTCGTTTGTCATTGGAGCTTTGAGTTGGTGACATAAAAACGTCATCAAAACGTTAGCGAAATTAATTAAAGATTGGCTCAGAAGGACTCAAACAAGGACTTGATCGATTACCCAAGAAAAAATCCTTTTTCTAACATTGTAGTGAACCGCTTGGAATATAGCAACAAATATTATAATTTAGGTTTCCGTACTCTATGTGCTGTGTACTCTTATCATTTTATATATCACCCTCTTTCACTTTTCATACTTTAGTGGTAATTAGTTGTATATGTTTCATACAAATCTAGTTTCTGTATATTCTGTTGTTATAGTTACATTTAGTTGTGTTTAAAATGTACATATAAATCAGTGCTTAAATATGAATACAGGCTTATTTATTATTAGAAAAATAATTCACTATTTGGAACTAAAACATAAAGTATATCATTTTGTTGGATTTAGATAACCATGAATGAGTTGCGTGAAGCTTATGCGGCAACTGAAAACAACAGTGCGCAAAATAACATTGAAAACGGCACCGCCAACGCTTTAGTGCCTAAGAACGGAGTTTCAAAAAACGGCATCTCTGCAGTTAACCGCGTTTGGGGTGGTGATAAACGCATCGCTCTGTTTGGATATACACTTGAAACCATTAACCTACTTCTATTGCCGATGATCAAGACCAAGTAAATTATCATCATTTCAAACATTATTAAGAGTTAATATTTTAATTAACTGAATATTTATTTGTGATGTAGAAAAGAAGCTCTAGGTTCTATGGGTAATGATGCACCTTTGGCATGCCTTTCCGAGTTCCAGCCGCTTTTATATGAATATTTTAAACAACTTTTTGCACAAGTACGTATATTAATTTTGAATTTTTATCTTTAGTCAAACAATGGTCTAAGAAAGTTATTTTTCTAATTTTGTCATAGGTAACTAATCCTCCAATCGATCCATTCAGAGAAAAAATCGTAATGTCACTTTTATGTCCGATTGGTCCAGAAAGTAACATTTTAGAACCCAATGAATTGTTTGTCCATCGTTTATTTTTAGACCAACCAATTTTATCCCTGCATGATATTGAAGTTATTAAAAATACAAACTACCGTGGCTGGCAGGCCCAGGTAGTTGACTGCACCTATCCCAAGTCTGAAGGTCCTAACGGCTTACTAAAGACTTTGGATAGAGTTTGCCATGAAGCCAATGCCGCCGCTAGGGCAGGCTACCATTTAATTGTTTTGTCTGATCGCCAAGCTGGTCCGGAAAGGTAAGTTTTTTTGATGCCGCAAATAACTGTTGTTTCAACCACAAAATTAAATTGTTTTTATTGAATTTAGAGTTCCTGTGAGCATTTTAATGGCACTCGGAGCTACTCATCACTATTTAATTGAAGAAAGACAACGTATGAAAGTTGGAATTATTTTAGAAACTGGTGAAGCTCGCGAAGTCCACCATATGTGTGTTTTACTTGGCTATGGAGCAGACGGCATTTGTCCGTACTTGGTATTTGAAATGGCCAAGAATTTAAGAGCTGACTATGTGTTAGATGATTCAATGGCTGATGAAGTCATTTTCAAGGTAAACTTTCAAGTGATTCTATCCTTAGAAATGTTTTAAAATAATAGGGGATATTAATTTATGTTGTTGATCTCTGCAGTGTTACGCTGAAGCTATGGAACGTGGTATTGCCAAAGTGATGGCCAAGATGGGAATTTCAACTCTGCAGTCTTATAAAGGAGCTCAAATCTTTGAAGCAGTCGGGCTATCTGATGAAGTTATAGAAAAGTGCTTTAGAGTGTGTGAAATTTTCAGAAGAATTTTACGAGTGTTGGGTAATATTCTAATAATTTTTCGCTTTCAGGGGACGCATTCTCGAATTGGCGGTGTGAACTTTGATACTTTGGCAAGAGAAGGCTTCGCCCGACATCGTATGACTTACTGGGACGACAGTTTCGATACTGTGGTTATAAATAATCCTGGAGTCTACCACTGGCGAGCTGGCGGAGAAAAACACATCAACGATCCTCGTAGCATTGCTAGTCTTCAAGAGTACGTCAACTCGAAAAGCTGGAGTGCTTATGAAACCTATCGCAAGACGTCCATGGAAGTTGTCCAAGCCTGCACACTTCGTGGTCAACTCGAATTCGTTAAAGACTGCACTCCGGTCGATGTATCCCTCGTGGAGCCTGCTGCAGAAATTGTTAAACGCTTTGCAACTGGTGCGATGAGTTTCGGTAGTATTTCCTTAGAAGCCCATCAGACTCTAGCTATTGCCATGAATAGGATTGGCGGCAAATCTAATACTGGAGAGGGTGGTGAAAATGCTGATAGGTATCTCAATCAAGACCCACAGTTCAACAGGCGATCAGCCATTAAGCAAGTAGCTAGTGGTCGGTTTGGAGTAACTGCAAGTTACCTTGCCAATGCTGACGATTTGCAGATTAAAATGGCTCAAGGAGCTAAGCCCGGAGAAGGTGGCGAATTACCGGGATACAAGGTAAAGCCTTACATTATCTTTACATTATAAATCTTATTACAATATCACTTTGCTTAACTAATTAGTTTATGACTACAGGTAACAGCAGACATTGCCTCGACTAGGCATTCTGTACCAGGAGTTGGTTTGATTTCTCCGCCACCTCATCACGACATTTACTCCATCGAGGATTTAGCTGAATTGATTTACGACTTGAAGTGCGCAAATCCTAATGCAAGAATATCTGTGAAACTTGTATCGGAAGTTGGTGTTGGCGTTGTGGCATCTGGTGTAGCCAAGGTGAGTATTTCTTTCAATTATAATCTTCAATTAGTGAGAACCGTCGTTGAATACTGACGATAATTCTCAGGGTAAAGGCGAACACGTCGTTATATCTGGACACGATGGTGGCACCGGAGCAAGTAGCTGGACTGGTATTAAATCTGCAGGACTTCCATGGGAATTGGGAATCGCTGAAACTCATCAAATTCTCACATTGAATAACCTTCGTTCTCGGATGATTGTTCAAGCTGACGGACAGATGCGTACTGGCTTCGACATTGTAGTTGCAGCTTTATTGGGTGCCGATGAATTCGGTCTCAGTACAGCTCCTCTTATTGCCATGGGATGCACGATGATGCGGAAATGTCACCTCAACACTTGTCCCGTTGGCATCGCTACTCAAGATCCATTTTTGCGAAAAAAGTTTAGTGGCTCTCCTGAACACGTTATCAATTTCTTCTTTGCTTTGGCAGAAGATGTGCGTGCTATTATGGCTTCATTCGGGATCACCAAGTTCCAGGATCTTATTGGTCGCACTGATTTACTTAAAGTTCGAGAAAATATTACTTTAGAAAAAGCCAAGATGCTTGATTTGTCCATGGTTCTACGCAATGCCTTAGAGTTGAGACCTGGAGTAAATATCAGAGGTGGCACTATTAAACAAGACTTTCAACTGGAACAAAGAGCTGATAACATTTTAATCGAAAAGGCAACTTTTGTACTTAATGGCCAGGAGAAAAACGTGACAATCGAAATGAATATCAACAACGAAACTAGAGCGTTTGGCTCAACTTTGAGTTACCACATTGCCAAGTAATTATATACAACATATGTTTTACCTGTTTTCCAAATTGGCCATAAAAGGAAGAAATATTTGCTCGTTCGCAGAAAATTCGGAGAAGACGGTCTCCCTAAACACAGTATCAACATCAATCTTAAGGGGTCTGCAGGTCAGAGTTTCTGTGCCTTCTTGCCGAATGGAGTTCACGTTACTTTGGAGGGCGATGCCAATGACTACGTTGGAAAGGGTCTTTGTGGTGGAGAAATTGTCATCTACCCGCCCAAAGAGTCAGAGTTCAATTCCGAGGCGAACGTGATCGTAGGTAACGTTTGCATGTATGGTGCTACTTCAGGCCGTGCCTACTTCCGTGGTATTGCTGCTGAAAGGTTCTGTGTGAGGAACAGCGGAGCGGTGGTCGTCGTTGAAGGCGTTGGTGATCATGGCTGTGAATACATGACTGGTGGCTGTGCCCTAATTTTGGGACTGACTGGTAGAAATTTTGCCGCAGGAATGTCTGGCGGTATTGCTTATGTTCTCGACGTCGATGGCTCGTTTAAAAGGTAATAATTGATTGACATGAAATTCGGAAAAATCGGCAAATTTTTAAAATGATTGTATTTATCGCTAATTTCCAGCAAATGCAATCCAGAAATGGTCGAACTACTGCCACTTAATGGTAAAAAAGATGTAGATTACGTGCAAGAGTTGTTGGAGGAGTTTGTAGAAAAAACTGGATCTTTGATTGGCAAAGAGTTGCTTGACATTTGGCCAGAACCCACCAATCGAATCTTCAAGGTATTTCCGTATGAATATCAGAGAGCTTTAAAGCAATTAGAAGAAGAACAAGCACTGAAAGATGAAGAAAAACTCAAAGAAAAGCAGTCAAACGAGATTGTTGCCGTATCAAATGGTCAGTCAGAAGCTGTGATAGATATAGAAGATGTTGTTGCCGATGCTGACATCGCACAAAAGAAACTTGATAAAATTAAGTAAGCAGTTATATATTCGAGTTACTATTATATTGGGCTTCCAATTGAATTAACTAATCAAGCGTTGTATTTTTAGGGGCTTTATGAAATACAAACGGCAGACTGGAATGTATAGACAAGTCGATAAACGAGTCGAAGACTGGGATGAAATTTACAACTTTCAAGGAGTACGAAAAGGGCTAAAAGTCCAAGCTGCTAGGTGCATGGAGTGTGGTGTTCCATTCTGCCAAAGCAGCCACGGCTGTCCTCTCGGAAATATCATTCCAAAGTGGAACGATCTTGTTTTCCAAGATAATTGGAAGGAGGCGCTCAACCAGCTACTTCAGACCAATAATTTTCCAGAATTTACAGGAAGAGTTTGCCCAGCACCTTGCGAAGGATCTTGTGTTCTAGGCATTTCTGAGCCTGCAGTCACAATAAAAAATATTGAGTGTGCAATTATTGATCATGCCTTTGAACAAGGATGGATTGTCCCTCACCCACCAATCAATAGAACAGGTAAATCAGTTGCTGTGATTGGCTCAGGCCCTGCGGGTCTTGCCGCTGCTCATCAATTAAACAAAGTCGGACACTTGGTCACGGTATACGAGAGAAACGACAGAGTTGGTGGACTTCTGCAGTACGGCATACCGACAATGAAACTTTCAAAGGAAGTCGTACAGAGGCGAGTTAATCTGCTGATTCAAGAGGGCATTACTTTTAAGACAGGCGTTAATGTTGGAAAAGATGTATCAGCAAAAGTAATTGTTTTTATTTTTCACTTACACCAGAAAAACGGAACTATAAAATTACTTAAACGTTCTTATTACTCATTAAAGGAACTGCACGAGCAATACGATGCCGTTTTAATCTGTACTGGAGCAACTTGGCCAAGAGATCTACCTATTCCTGGTAGGCAACTGCAAGGAATTCATTTTGCCGTTACCTTTTTGGAGCATTGGCAGAAAAAACAGATGGGAAATAAGGATCCGCTAAAGCCAGAATTGATGGCCAAAAATAAAGATGTTATTATTATTGGTGGTGGAGATACCGGTTGTGATTGTATAGCTACGTCTTTGCGACAGGTAAAGTCATAATACAGATATCTTTCATATTTTTCAATAGAGCTTATAAAAAATGGATTTTCCAGGGAGCTAAATCCATTGTTACATTCGAAATTTTGCCTGAACCACCAAAGAATAGGGCAGACGATAATCCTTGGCCACAGTTTCCAAGAATATTTAAAATGGACTATGGTCACGAAGAAGTTGTTCACAAATTTGGCCAAGATCCTCGAAAGTTTAGCACTCTGAGCAAGGAGTTTCTTGACGATGGAAAAGGCAATGTGACTGGTATCAAAACGGTCAATGTTGAGTGGACAAAGGATAATGCTGGCCGATGGAAAATGGATGAAGTTCCTAATTCTGATAAGGTATAACAAATATTTATCGATTTACTTGTTTTCATAATCATAAAATAATCTTGATTACATTTTTCAGGTATATAAATGTGATTTAGTTTTGCTTGCAATGGGTTTCTTGGGTCCTGAAAAGTACATGGCTGAAGAGTTGGAAACAAAAATGGATGCACGTGGAAACTATGAAACCCCTGTTGGCAAGTACATAACCAGTGTACCTGGAGTATACGCAGCTGGAGGTAATTGATTATTATGTTTTTGAAATTTGACATCAATTGAAAAATTTAAAGTCTAATCTAATTAATCGATTTACAGATTGCCGTCGGGGTCAATCGCTTGTCGTGTGGGCTATAACCGAAGGTAGGCAGGCGGCTCGCGATGTTGACTTGGCCTTAATGAAGCAAACCTGTCTCCCTGTTATCGGAGGTGTTATGATTCCTGCTGCTATTAATGGACATTAAAAACTATTCTTCCAATTTTATGGATTAGATTTTGCATACACGCACTACAATGTTTTTTGGATCCCACTCTAAGGAGGACAGTTTTTGAAATATATAACTATTTCGTTTTGCGCAGCTACGAGATCTGATTATACAGAATTTGAGAATTAATTAGTCGAGATAGAAATATAATTTATTTTAAATAAATTTTATTTCCCAGGTCACTTTTGGTATCGATATGAATGACATACCGATTAGTGCGTGCATATTAATTTCTATAATTACGCGGAAATACTTAGGACCTATCATGGTCTATCTTGAAGCAGTATCGTGATTGCTTTAAAATATATTTATAAAACTTTTAAATTGCTAACCGCTACGCAACGATTTCAATTAGTTCATAACTGTATTGCATATTAAGCAATATACAATGCTTCTAAACTGCAAGATTCGCAAAATTTACGATCGCTTCAGACGGTCAGACGCTTTGCATTCCTCAAAATATATGTTTTTGTGAAGCACAGTCGGTAGTCGAAAAGTCTACTTTTTGGAAGATTACAATTAAATATGAGGTCCTATATCTTTACACGTCCGTCTGAGTAATAGGAATTTTCAATTTATTCAACGGAAATGTCGACTTAACATAAAGAAAGGCTGGTGAAATGTGCGTCCATGCGTTGTTAAACATATATAGTAAGCTGCATGTTTGTTGATAATATTATACTATTAAACGTCAAACGATAGCTTGAAAAACTATATACATTGTTCGCAATGAGTTTGAGACGCGTTGCTGCTACGAGAATGATACTTCTACACTCTGGATTGAATAATTTTTATTTAAATGAGACGTCCTTTTGCGTGAATTGAAAATGGTCAATTACCTCTCTACGCCTTGAATCCCACCAATCATAGTATTGTTTAAGCGATAATATTGTGCAGAGAGGCTGGAACTGCCGGCTCGTGAGATATACGTCAGTACGATTTGTTCTTTTTTGTTATTTTCATAGTTCTATTATTCTTAGTTGTAAGAAACGTATGAATTAACGTAATTTTACATTAATATACACTAATTTATTTATCAACAATTGTAGTATCAAAAGCACGTAAAATTTATTTTTCATTAACCTTCAAATTCTATACGAACAAGTTTTTTCAGTCGACAGTTGTTTTTTTAATATTGTCATTTGTAATAATATTGTGAATTTACTTGCATAAATAATATAAAAACTATCAAGACAATAAAATTATATTAAATGTTCGAAATTTTATCTAGTCATTTCATCGACCTGTCCTACAAAAAAAAATTTTTACATTTTATAAACATCTTCACATTTATGATTCCTTTATTTTTGGGCTTGTACGTAGCACATCATATACGTGTACATATAAATTTTACCTCATTAGTTTCACCTCGAACATGTGTGTGTGTGTGTGTATGTATGTATGTATGTATGTATGTATGTATGTATGTATGTATATATATATATATATATAACGTAAATAATAAGAGAAGTGTATGATCTGATATCATTTCATATGATATCACTTTATCATAAAAATTACCTTTCAATTGTTTAGTCAAACGTAGAGGCAGAGTAATGCTGTGATAAAAAGCAAATTTCTAGAAATATAGTGATCAACTTACGGTGAAACTAATTTTCTACATTTTCATGTACTATATACGTATATATATGTGTACATATATAGAAAGACCTCGATATAATATGTACTACTAAAATAATTGAAATATTATAAGTTTATTTGTTCATAAACGTACTTCCAATGAGTTGGTTGAGCGAATTAAATTTTGATTGGAATCAATTTCAAATTTGATCGACTTAACTATTTTTTTATTATTAGTATTATTGAATGCAAAAAAGAAGAATGATTAATATGTAGATTTTCGCGAAATGTAATAGGTATACATATTTATTTCCTCAATAAAAGGGAGATTTTCTAAAAGTGAAGCCTCTTGATTATGATTGATCGATTTGAGATAATCCGTGTGCGAAGCGTGTTTATTGACTTCTAGAATAATAGAAATACATTATATTCTCGCCAAAGAACCTTCCAGAATGAAGAATATACACAATATTTCTTCTGTTTAAATGCGTACATCGTATCAAACAGAAAATTTACTTGCTTAAAACATAAAAGCAGCAGAATGGTCATGATTAATTAAAGTCAAACCCAAAACTTTAGCATTAAAAAATAAACAAATATATTGTTAAGAAACGACGCGAAACAGCTCCTAAAATCGAGAACATTTTCGTTCTTGTAAAGGGAGAGCATTGAACTTGGCAAGCATTAACGTAACATGTATATTGTACGTCAGTTGCCCGGACCTAGACAAGTCGATATTAGCACATAGCCAGATTCCACCAGTCCTCGTTCTTCGCTAATATTATCTCAATCTAACTAAAAATAATGATATGATGCCGTTTCTACTGTCCCTTTTTGTTTTATTATGTCATTCTCTATGCATTTTGTTGATCTAATTAATATATTATGTATATTGTATCTTTGTGATATTCCATCAATAATACACAAACGTATTACATACGTTTTAAGGTAAAGCATTAATTCATAGAATTTTCAATTGATAAAACGGGAGTTTTTCGAAAAAAATGTAAGGAGCTATCGTTTCGAGCTTCATCCATTAGTTTTCCGATGCAACACGACTAATCGCGAAAATTCTGGAATATTCAAGAACAATAACTACGTACCAAATTTTTACAATTTCTGTATTAACGCCCCTTCAAAAGTATGTTAAAGGAAATTTTAACATATTTATTCTGTTTTCCAACACTTGTATAAAATCTATTCTTTAAATGGGAGAAAAACAATGTAACAGAAAATATTGATACAAACGGGAATGTTCTATACTATATATATCTCAGTTAAACGAAGCTTCTCGATTTTGCCTTAGTCCGGCGATGGCGCTGTAATCAATCGAGTTTTATAAGAAAATTGTTAAATTTTCGATAATGTTAAAATAATTACTTGATATATACCTTCAGATTTGTACTATATTTGTTGTGGAATTCGTTAGTTATGAAATTCTATTATAAAAATACGTAATATCGATGTAAAAAGTCATAGAAAGCTGTCGAATTTTCGAGAACAAAGCGGAGAAGTTTCTGGCATCGTCGCGAATGGAGGGGCAGAGTATATAAGCGCAGCAGCGTGACGAGGCGCTTCAGTACATGAAAAACAATTATACGAATCACTACAAAGCTAACGAAACTTACGAAACAACAAATACAATGGCACCAGCTGTTGGTATTGACTTGGGTACCACCTACTCATGCGTAGGTGTTTGGCAACAAGGCAAAGTTGAAATCATCGCCAACGACCAGGGCAACAGAACAACACCATCATACGTTGCCTTCACCGACACCGAGCGTCTCATCGGCGATGCCGCCAAGAACCAGGTGGCGATGAACCCATCTAACACCGTGTTCGACGCCAAGAGGTTGATTGGTAGAAAGTAAGTGTTTTTTTAAATTTCAATTTTTATTACATTTAATTTTATAGTTTGTTGATTATTTAAAGTGAATCCATAACTTAGAAACCGTAACTTCTAACTTTATGCACTTATTTATTCGTAACTTAAAAAAGTTTTTTATTTTGTAATACGAAATTCAAACGGCTAAACGTGACTTGATAATTTTATCTTGCAGGTACGACGACCAAAAGATCAAGAGCGACCTGAAACACTGGCCGTTCACAGTCGTCAATGATTGCGGCAAACCGAAAATTGAGGTCGAGTTCCGTGGCGAGAGGAAGAGGTTCAGTCCAGAGGAGATCAGCTCGATGGTCCTGACAAAGATGAAGGAAACAGCGGAAGCGTACTTGGGACAGAAAGTTAAGGACGCAGTTATCACGGTTCCTGCGTACTTCAATGACTCGCAGCGTCAGGCCACCAAAGACGCTGGAGCCATCGCCGGTCTCAACGTGCTCAGGATCATCAACGAGCCCACGGCTGCGGCTCTGGCCTACGGCCTTGATAAGAACCTCAGAGGGGAGAAGAACGTCCTCATCTTTGATCTCGGCGGCGGAACTTTCGACGTCTCAATCCTCACCATCGACGAGGGATCGCTGTTCGAGGTGAAAGCCACGGCCGGCGACACCCATCTCGGTGGCGAAGATTTCGACAACCGGTTGGTCGATCATCTATGCAAGGAGTTCGAACGTAAATACAGGAAAGATTTGAAGAAGAACGCGAGAGCACTCCGACGACTGAGGACCGCGGCAGAAAGGGCCAAACGCACTCTGTCATCTAGCACTGAAGCGAGCATCGAGATCGACGCGCTCTACGAGGGTGTCGACTTCTACACCAAAGTCTCGAGAGCGCGCTTCGAGGAGCTGTGCGGCGACCTGTTCCGTGCCACTCTGGAGCCGGTCGAGAAGGCCCTTGCCGATGCCAAGTTGGACAAGAGATCTATCCACGACGTCGTGCTCGTCGGCGGTTCAACACGCATTCCGAAGATCCAGAATATGCTACAAAATTTCTTCTGTGGCAAGCAGTTGAACCTATCCATCAACCCCGACGAAGCAGTGGCCTACGGTGCGGCAGTTCAGGCCGCCATCCTTAGTGGTGAGGGTGACAAGTGCACCACTCTTCAGGACGTGCTACTCGTAGACGTTGCGCCCCTGTCGCTCGGCATTGAGACCGCCGGCGGCGTTATGACCAACATCATCGAGCGCAATGCTCGCATCCCTTGCAAGCAGACGCAGACCTTCACCACGTACGCCGATAACCAACCCGGCGTAACCATCCAGGTGTACGAGGGCGAGCGCGCTATGACAAAGGACAACAACCTGCTCGGTCGCTTCGAGCTCAGTGGTATTGCGCCAGCTCCACGCGGCATCCCCAAGATCGAGGTCACCTTTGACATGGACGCCAATGGCATCCTACATGTCACCGCCAAGGACGAGGCTAGTGGTCGTAGCAACAACATCCGCATCACCAACGACAAGGGACGCCTGTCGCGGGCTGAGATTGACCGCATGCTCTCCGAGGCGGAGAAGTACCGCGAACAAGATCAGGAGCAACGCGAGAAGGTATCCGCTCGCAACCAGATCGAGAGCTACGTGTTCTCGGTCAAACAGGCGGTGCAGGACAGCGGCAGCCGCCTCAGCGACACCGACAAGAACATGGTGCTCAACCTGTGTGAGGACACCATCCGCTGGCTCGATAATAACACCTTGGCTGAGAAAGACGAGTACAAGCATAAACTGGAGGAGATCCAGCGTCAATGTTCGCCCATCATGACTAAGTTGCACTCGGGAGGCGCCTCGGCGGCCGGACCTCAGCAAAACTGCGGTCAACAGTTCCAACAGGCTGCAAATAACAACTACTCAGGACCGACTGTCGAGGAAGTCGACTAAGCCCAACACCATCGGGCTGCGTAAACACTACCAAGCTTCTTCCGGCTCCTACCATCCGCGAGTCGTCGACGACGATTTTAGTGTGCTAAGATATTGGCAGTATCTCATCGTTCATTCCCAAGAGACAGATCTAATTATTTTTCCAAAGTTGTTTCATCGATACGAAACGAATTTATAAGACTGTTAGATTAATTTTCATGTCGGGGCTTTTTGATTCAGTTTCAATGGCTTTATTTGGTATTCAAGGCTGCTTTGCAAGCTCAGCAATGAGTTTGTGATCCAACTTCGGTTATCAAATTGGGTTTATAGGGTCCGAATCAAAAAGTCCTGTAACCAGTTTTATCAGCTATCTATAACATTTCTTTTTTTAGTTATTTTATAGACAGATGGTTAAACTGGCTCTTCATTGTGATATTCGTTAGAAAAGAAATAAATTATTTAATTTTTTTATACAATACTACTATCTTGTCATTTGCGAATGTTCATATCCTCACCTTATTTCCTTGCCAGTTTTTCGCTTTAATATTATAAATTATTATTAATATTATTTAACATTATGAACATTATAAATTGTTTTTCTTTCTTTTATTTTTAACTAAATAATAATTTTAAAAATTTGTAATTGGAGTTGTAATGATTTTTTAAAGTATCTAGTAAATTTATTTAAATTAAGTTCGTTTAGTAAAGTTTATTTTTTTCTATTATTGAAAAACATTGGAAGTACATATGTGTAATCAAGTTTTCGTAAATTATTGCATTTGAATTTCCGAATCAAGTACACATTGCGCAGTAGCAAACTCTTCCATATGTTTGTTTTCTACAATCTAACCTAACCTGAGCAAGAATAAAACTGCTTGTACTTCGTATTTCTATAAAAAAACATGTAACATTAAATTTGGCGCAACTTGTACAATGATTTTCTGAGAAAATTTCTCAGGCGATTATTGAAATTTGAGTGATTTCATAAGAAGGCAGTTTCAAATTTATAAGTAAAACAAAGAAAGTAAAATCAAATTATGCTGACCGATAATAAAACGGAAGAAATGTTACGCATGTTTGGTATGTGGTGCCTTGGTAATCAGCAGCAAGGAGGAACGCCCAGGTGAAATGAGGACAAAAGAGAAAGTTTTTCAACGTCAATAAGCCACGAATGCCTTGCTGCTGGCCAACATGTGAGGGAATTCCATTCGGAAAAGAAGTGTTCATTCTGTTGACGACTAGTTTACGTTTCGGAGCGGCGTAAAATGTCTGTTAATAAATCTGTACTGTTTCTTATTCGGCGGAGCAAAACACTCTCCTCATCATGCAATAAATCGAGTTTGTTTTACGCCGATAGACAAAAAGTGAATTTGGATTTGAAAAAATATAGCACAAAAACTGTCAACAGTCAGAAGCCTGACTGGAACAGAGCAGTTTCTGAGGCTGAAAAAATCGTTGGATATCCTACTTCGTTTCTAAGTCTTCGCTGGCTGCTTAGTGATGAAATTGCCAATGTTGCTCTTCATTTGCGGAAACTTGTTGGTTCTAACCATCCACTTCTCAAAACTGCCAAGTAAGTTTATTATTTAATATTTTATTAATATTGTAATTTAGAGAAAGCATATGAGAAAAGTGTGTCATTTGATAATATTAAATTATAGAAGTTTGATTTATAATGGGCGTAATATGCAAGCTTGGGGTCTTATTGTTCTCCTTATATCAAAAGCTGCAGGGCATATAAATGTTGAAGATATGGAAGAAGACAAGTCGGCTGGAGTCTTACACAGGTAGTTAATTAGACTTCAAATACAGTTAGGTACAACCTAATAGGGAGCAGCATTAATATGTCAACTTGTTATCTTTTTAGTCAACGTGCACTAGCTGAAGTTACTGAAATGATTCGTACAAGTCATTTAGTACACAAAGGTTTAGTTAATATACGACCAGGAGTTTATCCTGAACAATCAGAGCTGGATGATATGACTTTCGGAAATAAAATTGCCCTACTCAGTGGTGATTATTTATTAGGAAACAGTAGTGCTGAATTGGCAGCTCTTAGAAATCAAGATGTATGCATTGATTGAATTTCACTAATTTACATTTGTTTATTTTTGACTATTAATTTGAATCATGAAATTATTATAGTTGGTAGAGCTCATGTCAAGTGCAGTTAGAGACTTGGCAGAAGCAGAATTTGTAGGTAGAAGAGACAGTCAAGATAATCCCTTACCATCTGTACCACCTGCAGATCGCACAGGCTATGCCGTGAAAGAATGGACTCTGCGTAATGTTTTGAGTGCTGGTGCACTCTTGGGGAAATCTTGCAAAGGTACACTGAAATTGGCTGGTCACAATGAGAAAATGCAAGAAGAGGGCTACAAATTTGGAAAACATTTGGCTCTGGCTTGGCAGGTATATGAAATTTTAAATGCTCGATGACAGTTTTGTTTAGTCAATCAATATTACTAGTGTGTTATTTTTTCAGGCTTATCTAGATCTAAGCCCATTTATAAGCAAAGATAGAAATAATCAGTTTAATGTGTGCTCAGCTCCAGTCATGTTCCACATTGAACATGATCCTTTAATTTTGGTAGAAATTGATAAAGGTCTAGAGTCTGTTCAAAATATTGATTATGCCAAAGTTTATGACATTGTTGTTAGTGGTCCTGGAATAGAATTAACAAAGCAATTGCAGCAAGAGCATTCGCAACGTGCAATGGAGGTGCTAGATGTCTTTCAAGAAAGTGATGCACGAACAGCTCTGTCAAATATTATAGCTGCGATGGGAGATTTTTGAAATGAAACAATTGAGAAAATTCTTTTTGTAAAAAGTTTTCAAAGGTAAAAATTATTTTTATTTAAGATCTTTCTTAAACGAAAAATTTTATTTCAACAATTGATAAACGTTAAACGTTTTTCTAATAATAATATATTTATTAATTGTTACTATCTTGTTGAACAGTTTTTATACATTTTTACAGAAAGTGTGATTACTTGTTATCGAAAAGTAGGTTTTTTTGGATTAATTATTTTGTATACTGTTTTTGTACACAAAAGTATATGACATAAAAAATATATAAACTGTTTTTTTTAATTTTATGAAAAAAATTGTTATTCGCTTGGAAATAATACTTTTGATACTGACAATTCAAATTGTTTTAGCAATAATATTTATTTACAAAATGATTCATAATCGATGCGCGACAGAGTTATTGCTATGAAGTAATACTTCATTTCTATAGCATATTTATCGTGAAAAAATATAACAAAAATATACTTTTCAGCCTTTCCATAGGCTAAAAATATATATAAATATAAATCTATAATTACTCTTGTTGAAAACTCACTAATTGTTGAGTAAAACCTACAATGCTGCAGGTCACGATAGCGAGGTAAATACTTTTTTCATTTAATTCCTATCTTTATTATTGTCCAAGTTTGCATTCGAAAACAGTTCTTTCATGAGTTCACTCTTTTTTTTATGCGTAGGCAGTCCTCTATATAGATTCTCTGTGATTCGTAATCGATTTGAAGCGCTATTTTTTCGTGGCTTTTGATCAATAAATTCAACATTGTCATTGTCGTCAATTGCCTTCATTGCAGCTAATAATTTTGCCTTATCAAAAGACTTGTTTCCATTTTCATTTACTTTAGTTTTGCATTCCGCAGCATCCTTAAAATCCATTTTTTTAGAAATAACATGACTAGTTTTATTCTGATTCACCTCACTAGGTGTATCTATTGTATTATTTTCCAATCTTTTGGTTTTCTTTAAATTTTCGGTAATATCATCTATCAGTTTCTCAGCTGAAGATGCAATGTCATCTTCTTGATCTCTGGTCATCTGATCATTGAGAGAACGAACATTTTCATGACTATCCTGCTCATCTTTTCCAAGTAAATTATCATCGTTCCATGACGTTTGGGGAATATTTTTGGTAATCGATCTGTCGTGGATAGCTACTTCTCCAGTAATGTCGACAATTTGATTAGTAGACATTTTAAAGACATTTGTACCTTTTTCATTAATTTTATTGGCGTTCGGGTCGGCTTTCTCCTCACTCTTGGAGTTGAACGAATAGTTGGGCGGTTTTCGTAAATGAGTGAACAACGATGATAAATGCGAGGACGTATTTGGCTGTTTTTGAACTTGTATGTCCTCGATAATGACATCGGACTTTCTTTGACCATTATTGTCTTCATCGACGGCACATGCCAGCGAGATTTCCATTTCACTTTCGGCGTCACTGTTGCTATCATTTGTATTGGCCTCATTATCGTCTTTCACTAAAGCGTCCTTTGAGATTACGGTAATAACGGAGTCGCGATCATACTTGACTTCTCTCTCATTCTCAAGAATGTTTTCTAAATTTTCTTTTGTTAATGATCGCGATCTACTGGAGATTGCGGTTTTATTTGTGCGCACTACGTCGCTGGCTGAATTGACTAGTCTGTGTCAACAGAACAGCCTCGTTAGTAATCGAAAGTCAAAAGATTTGAATGGAAATTAGCTATCATAACGAACCTGGCGTGTAGAGATCTCGACCTGCCGGCATAATTGAAGTTGTCGTTCAAACTGTCATTGCTATTCGAGCGACTGTCTTTGATACTGGTTTCGTCGCCAGTAGAGTAGTCGAGTTCTCTCTTGAGCGATTTTGGAAGCTCGTACGTCCTCTTAGTTTTGTCCGAGCTCGCGTCGGTGGCAGATTCTGCAATCAGAGAATCGGCCGTGGTGCTCCTGGGAGTGGAAGGCGGTGCTGGTCTATGCGAAGCTGGTGATTTTGAAAGTGTAAAATGCTGAGCTGACTTCAGGCTCGCGAGGCGTTCGGACATCGCGCGATGCGCGTCCGAGCTGGATCGCTTTGCGATGTCCTGCGAGCGGATCGGCGTGGACGGCGCTCCGTTTAGAGAGGGCAACGACTGATTCGTCGTCGATTCGCTTTCGAGCTTTCTAAAACTGTTGATCGTTCGTGAGCTCGGTGGGCCATCGATCGTCGTGGGGCAAAGCCGCAAGATGACCTACCTGCATAATTTGAATGGATTTTCCGAGCGCGTGTCGCTTAAATTGGTAAGAGACTGGCTGGTCACCGAGGCTCGTGCCCTGCCATAATACGTCAGCTGGCTCGCTTGATAGGAACGCTTGAGCCTCTGCTCACTCAGCCTTTCCAGCTGTTGCAGTTTCGTTTGCGCCTGTTCCAGCTCCTTCTGAGTCTCCTTGTGCTTGACCATCTCAGCGTGTAGCTGGTGCTTCAGGTACTTGGTTTCCAGCTCCAGTTTGCGCTTCAAAGTCTGCAAGCCAAGTCCGCGCAACGAGAGATATATCGCAGCGATCGAGGTACTTGTGAAAGGCAGCGTGCACCCCACATACCTGTACAGTTACACTTTGCTCGTCGAGCCTGTGCGTCAAATCAAACACTTGGGCTTGCAACTTGTCCCTCTCTGCCAAGTGGCGGTCCTTGCTCAGTTGCAAAAGTTTCTTGTTCTGCGCCTGGAAAAGTAATAAAGCAATACACGTTGGTGCCGTTATATGGCGCCTTAGTGACTAGAGATGGCATCGTTCATTGCTAGCTGGAGTTGAAGGGCGAGGGACGACACGCGGGTGAGCAGCGGTTCGGGAACGTTGCCCGTTTCAGGTAATTACTTTGATGCACCTGCAAGGAATGCAGCTCGTTATCCCTCTCCTTGAGCGTGTCATTCAGGCTGCTGCACTGAGATTTGAGCTTCTTGTACTTGCTCTGCAGCACCCTCAAGTCCTCGTGGTGCGTGTTTATTATTCTGGGCAACTCGGCGTTGGTGCCCTCGTAACGCTTCAAAGCGGCATCTTGCCTCTTCTGAATGGCCTTCAGCAGTTTGTTTTCGTTGGATAATTCCTGCGATACGAGAAATCTAGAGCACCGTTGTTTGCGCGGGCATCGCGATGACTTACGTTCAAGTGGAAGTGAGCGTCGGCCAACTGGTTTTGTAGCTGCTTTATGCGAAGCATTTTCGCCGACGAGACGCGCTGACTGATGGCACTTCGATCTTGAGGTTTGTTGGCAGTGTCACTGGGGTTCAGTCGAGCGTTATTCTTGTAAGGGCTGGTTGCACCTGCAGGCCCGGTAGTAAAAACGCAATTATTTTATAAAGAGGTCGCAAGGAAAGCCGTGGAAAAGCAAAGGGTCAAATACAGACCTACGGCAGCGCCTGACTTATTTGTTTGCGAGTGCGGTTTCAAGCTATACTTTTTGTTTCGAAATGTGGAAGTACTCTTACTGCCGCGAACTGCAGTCTGCTTGGCTTGGCGATTACTAGTTCTGTCGGCAGTACACAGTCACACAGTTATAGCCGTGTTTCGGTATGTTCCACGCGAGCCAAGAATACCTCAATTTTAAATTCAAACACAGACATACGTACCTAGGTAGGCGTAAATTAGCGGTCAAACATGCTATAGGTAAGGGAGGAACGTCACTTTGCATTTTTTGTTCGAAATCGAGGAAGAAAAGCCGACCTCGCGCTCGCTCGTCACATTTCCAGCAGCAGCAGCAGCGATGTCAGTACCTTTCATGGGCCACCGCGCGATTATGTCAATTTATTAAAAAATAAAGCGCGACACTGTTTGATTGGCACCCATGACTGCCTTTCTCTGCGTTGCTATGGAGATCCCTACGTATAAACATATTTAACGTATGCACTGTTGACACGTGAGCACACGTATATACTGTCTACGCTTTTCATTGATTGTTTAATCGCTATAGCGCCCTTTTTGCCGAATACCTATATTAATGTTTCATATATACTTTGTACGGGGCAATGAACTGTCGAAGAAAACCATCGTGTAACCTAACCCACAAAACATCCTTTTAATCGCGTAAAAATTACATTATTTACAAATAATGTTACACATTTTAGTTAATTTTACACGTTTTTTGGATTGATTTCCAACAATTATTTACAATATTTATATAGCAACGTTTATACTGTGTATCGGTTGTGATTGTTTTTTGTTGCTCGCGTATTAGTCTTGAATACTTGCATGCTGAGCATCCCACAATTTACTATAATACGAGTTGGGTATTCGCAACAATTCTACGTGTTTTCCTTGCTCAACTAATTTGCCGCTGTGCAAAACAAAAATCTCGTCTGCATCCATGACAGTGGATAAACGGTGGGCAATCACAATAGAAGTTTTTCCAGTAGTGGCACGTCGCAGAGCTTCGAGTATATGCTGTAAAAGCCGACGATAAATGTATAACATTTCAATCGTTAAAAATAGTTTGAAACGTTAATAGTTCTCATTGAAAATTGTACCTGCTCTGTGATGGAATCCAAGGATGAGGTAGCTTCATCAAATATTAAAATAGGACTGTCCTTTAAAATTGCTCGAGCAATGGCAACTCGCTGTTTTTCTCCACCACTTAACTTTAAGCCACGTTCACCTACTGGCGTATCGTAACCCTGTGGCCATTTGAGGATCGAATCGTGCAAATTCGCCATTTCGGCCGCTTTATATACGTCTTCCTTGGATTTCCTCAGATTTCCATAATGAAGATTATAGAATATTGACTCGTGGAAGAGAACGGAATCTTGTGGAACAATGGCTATCGATTGACGTAAATCATCTATATCGACTTCTCGGATGTTTTTGCCATTTATTAAAATGTTGCCATTATTTGGATCAAAAAATCTATACAGCAATCTTACTAATGTTGTTTTTCTGCGGAGAAAAAAATGGTCGGAAAAAAACATCATTACTGTTTATAACAAATATTGAAAAATAAAACGTAGTTACCCCGATCCAGATCCTCCGACGACAGCAATTTTTTTTCCGCTTGGTATTATAAAAGACATATCTTTGAGGATATTTTTACCACTTACATATTCGAATGTAACGTTGTCAAAGGTAATGTCGGAATTTTTAGGTGCAACACAGAAAGGTAGAGCGTTGGGTTTGCTCTAAAATTGTAAATTATGACGATGTGATAACATTATAACAGATATTAATTAAGAAGATTTACCTTGATGGTAGGATCCATTAAAGTTAGTGTAAACATTGTCTGCATGTCTATAAGGGCCTGCCTTATTTCTCTATACACGGATCCCAAAAATCCAAGTGGAATCGATAGTTGAAACAACAAGCCATTGACCAACACTAAGTCACCAACAGTCAAAGTTCCTACAATAATATATTATTCGTTGTATTATTTTTTTATTTATTGTTGTTGAGAGGAATGAATGAACTGCAGATTTAGTATATTACCATTTACAATGTCCTGAGCAGCTAAAACCATAATCAAACTTAAAGCTGTACTAAAAATTGCGTGTTGGCCAAAATTCAAAAATGCCAAACTAGTACTCGTTTTCAATGAGGCGGCTTCGTATTTTCTTAGAGCATCGTCGTATCTTTCTGCTTCGAATTTCTCGTTGTTGAAATACTAAGACAGATGTCAAAAAATACAAAAATACAAAAGCATGGATGTAAAATGTTTTGTTATTGTAAGAAAAACTCTTGATGCAATTACTTTAACAGTTTCATAGTTGATGAGGGAATCTATTGCTTTATTACCAGCTTCGTTTTCCGCCTTATTCATATACACGCGAAACTTTGTTCTCCATTGTGTGATAGCAAGCGTGAATGCAGCATAAGTGCCAACACATCCAATTGCGACAGCAGCGTACTCGGGCCCGCACTTGTATCCCAATATTGAGCTAACAAGTGCTAACTCAAAAACTGTAGGGACGATGTTGAAAACCATAGCGGACAGAACAAAGTTGATGCCTCGACTTCCCCTGTCGATGGTCTGCAAAACGAATTCCACTCGTTTCATTATTGACAAATTAAAAGAAAATTTAACTAACTGACCTTTGAGAGCGCTCCCGTTCGGCGGTTAAGATGAAACGATAAATCCAAGTTATGGAGATGTAAGAAAACGTTTTTGGCTATTTTACGAATTGAATGTTGAGCGACTTTGGCGAAAACGGCATTCCTCAGCTCATTAAATCCCGTCGCTCCAGCGCGAGCGATACCATCTGCAAAAGAAAAAAAAATTATATATTCCTCAAGCGAGCAGTCTCGCTTTAATACGGATAATGAAATCTTACAGCCAATGAGCAATGTCGTTCCTACAGTCGCAACAGTTCCGGGAGCAGTCGCCAGTGCATCTGCACCCACTCCCAAGGTGTCAACAGCTGACTTGAAAAAGAGCGGCACAGAAACGTTTAGGAACTTGGATCCTACCAGCAATGCCAAAGCTATTTTAACTCTTTTCCTTATTTCGGGTTCTTCCTGCGTACCGAAGGCATAAAATAGACGATCTTGAATTATTCACATAGTGTTTGCAGATATCGTTCTACAGAAAAAAAATCAATGCTACAGGATCAAACGAAACGTAGACATTAGGCTTCTGCAAAGCTCGGCTCGATGTCTCGAATTATTTGCACTTTTGTCTTGCGCGTTCCTTTCGTTGAAATTCAAGATATTTCATAACTCGAGTTCGAAAAGCACAGGAAGCTGGACAGTTGGAAAGCTTCCTCAGCTTGAGCTTTTGCAGAAAGCTAAAGACATATTGCTAAATTACCTTGGGCCAGATAAAGTTGAACATAGCTCTTATCATATCTTGTCCCGTAACTTGCGGTCCAGATACAAAGTCGAGTCCATCTCTGCTTAAACTTGAAGCTCCAGGGTGGAAGCAATTTCTCTTTTGCTGGGCTGGTTTTGCCCCTGTTATGCTTGCAACAACTAAATTTTGCTTTACTGGCGTCACCACCGGCTTCGCTTGCGGAACATTTTTCTTTTGTTGAGCTCTGTCAATAACATTTCCACTGCAAGACTGAAATTCAAGATAAAAGGTTTTATTCAGAAAAAAAATATTGGCCATTACTTTTAAACAAACTTCCATCCCAATTAATAAAATAGTCAATGATTTTTCAATATTTCATCAAAAACTTTGAATAATTTGAAATAAGACTATTTATTTTTACATTCTACTTTTTCAAAATTTTAATAAGTATGGGATGATAAAAACAATTAATCATTTTATGTAAAAAACCAATTATTTATTATATTATACTAGTCTGTACAATTTACATTATTTATAATAGATTGTATAAAATTTAGTGCGCATTGAATAATGTTTAAATGTTCTTTTACAAGCTCAACAGCAATTTTAAAACTGTTACTTTTATGAATAACTTTTTTCATGTTTGTCAAACACGATGTGTGTTTATTTTTTATACCATTCAATATTATCAAACCTAATTTATTTATCTCTTGTAAATCTTTATGATTAAAATTATCTTGAAAAATTTTTTCTTTCCAAATAAGTTCTTTGTAAGTATTTGATATAGCAATGAATAATACATTTTTTGCATTATAATTCAAGCCCTCTCTGGTAAAAGCCATAGTTTTATGAAATTCATGGTTTGTTATAAAATTATAAGCACTAGTTGAAATATTTGAATACTTTTGAACATCAGACAGATAAAAAGTAATCTGATCTGAATGATTATCTGGAATGAAAAAACCATATTCCAAATACAACTTTAAACTATGGTGTGGACCATACGTTATAAAAACTTGTTCATTCTTATTATAAGAATTTAAAGCTACTATTTGATAGTACTCTTCATTTTCTGAAATTAAGCTAGCATTAGCTACAATTTCAGTTGTATGATTAAATAAATCTAAAAAAGGAGCCAATGCTAAATTGTCATCTCCAGAGATTTTAATCAGAGTACATTTCTGTTTTTCATTATTTATATAAATAGCTCGTGTATTGACTGTATAATAAGCCCAACTATAGTTTGAAAATGTGATGATGTCATGAAATGATTTTCCGCAATGATTACAAGTATTTTTAACTATCTTTTTTATAGAGTCAACTATAGATAAATAAGAGAATTTCAATTTTTGCGATATATTTTTTAATTCACATTGAATAAAGTAAGGCAGCCATTGTTTTTCCATTTTAGTACAAAATTCTGGATTTGAATAGCACCATGGGAGTGTATCTAGGTAAGGTTTCCAATAAGAATAATCTCCCAAGTGCTTTTCATAGACCAAAAAAGCTGCCAAAATGCACTGAGCACTATAAATTTTGTCAAATAAAAATAAGACTCGAATATTACTTTGTGAAACTACATAAGATGTGATTAAAAGTGATTTTGGAATTTTTAAGATAACTTGATTCTTTTGAATTTGATCAAGAGTCATCAAGCCTCTTCCAGTAATTGGAAAAACATGGGCAACTAAATTACAGATAGGTTTCCAATTATTTAAAAGCATCCAAGACTTTAATATTTCATAAACATCATCACTGTTCATCAAAATTAATCTTTTCTTGGTCTTCAACAGACGTTTTCTTGCTGTACGTCCCATAACGAACAAGTAAAATATCACATCTGTAGAATAAAAGTAAAAATTTCAACAGCTTTAACGATTACAATTTTGATTTTAACGACTTTAACTTTTTTTTCGTTTGTGTGGATAACAATAACCTCTTTATAACCTCAAACGATCGATGGAGAGTAGTTAAAATCGATAAAATAAAGTGAACTGCAAGGGAAAGTGAGGATGAAAAGTTAAAAAAATTACCCGTGCATTCAATAGGCTGTCGTGTTTGAAGAAAATGAGTATAGCTGTGGTTTGTCTAGTGCAAATAATAGACCGTTTGAGGCGGTTTCCAATGCAAGGAAGATCAAGCAGAGTCGTAATTTTAAGATTTTTGCTGCTTTTTATATTCCTTAACATCCTTCCACACACAAAAATTGACATGATCCTCGTTTTTCTTCAGGACAACACTCCCTAGTTGTGTTTCCCTTCTAATTCTAAATCCTAATTTTTGTCGATGACTGCAGACTATGTCACATTGTAAGCATAGCTACATACCAGCTTACGTATTTATCTATATACTTTATAAGTAGAGGTTGATTGCGCACTGATGCGACACGATCTTGATTTCCAAAAATGCGTTTGCAAATTTTTCTTTTGGGCTCTTGTATATATTACTTCTTTGCTATTTATTAAAAATATTAATGAAATTATCTGATCCGTCTTACATGGAAATTCTACTATAGCATAAAATAATACATTTTATCGTCTCTGTCATAAAATACGATAATATTGCATTAATTTACAGTGTGTGTGTGTGTGTGTGTGTGTGTGTGTGTGTGTGTGTATATATAAACATTTGCAATCAGTGTCCGTCCTATTTGACATTTCTACAGAGTATCGATCAATGATTCAGTCCACGGATCACGATATCGGTATGTGCGTATACTGCCCAGATATTATAAGAACTTTTTGTATGGAGACATCGGACGTCGCACATCGGCAATCACTTTAACATGGTGAAAAAAGATAGTCAAATGATATATTATTGTACAAATAATGTTAATATAGTAGGTCAATATTTTTTATGATTGCTTAAATCCTGCGCAATCACGAACATACCCTAGATGTTAAACAAATAATTTGTTTTTTAACTTGACGATCTCAGTACACGTCCGATGCCGATTCTCCGATGTCCCCTTACATATAGAAAGCGCCTTAATACGCGACTTGCGAAGTTCCAAATACAAATTATTTTCAACGAATGAGTGAGCATTGATGACACCAAACAAGGTTAGATCAAGGGCTTACTTTGGCAACTTGTGCTCTACCCCTATAACTTACCAGTTATAAAAATCCATATATGTCATCGATGCTCATTCGTAGAAAATAATTTAATTTATTTGAAAGTCGTGGTATACGTATATCTATATATATTTAGTAATAACTAAATGAGGAACGGGAAATAGGTCGATAGGGTAGACTGCGTGCGAATTTCAGGATTTACTATTTTTATTCAAAAAAGAAAAAAACAACTTTGAGATTTCAACAATTGTATAGCGTGAGTGGATATAGACACTAAAATCGTATACAATTACTGTCAACTTAAAATATCAAAATAACTCATCTTTATACAATTTCATACAATATAACCTCAAAAATGATAACGAAATCGCCTCAACTTACAAACTTTTTTAATAATATAATTAATCTAAGTAATAATTTAGTGGTAACTATTAGCTAAAAATTTGAATATTCTTTTTATTAAACTTTCCATCAAGTTAGAAAATAGCGCGCTTGCGTACAAAATCAGTTGATGGCCGTATAGCTAGAAGGCTTAATTAATAAGTTGAAGCCTTAGTGTCGCCAAAAAATAGAACATAAAGAGAGAGAGAGAGAGAGAGAGAGAGACAGAGAGTGAGAGAAAGAGAAAGAGAGTGGATATGTCTGATCATAAAAAAGAAGTGTTGTACGTGCTTTGAAAGGACTATTATAGATTTATTGTTTTTTCTGGGGTTTTCCACATTGATGGTGCAGGCGAACACTTCTTATAGTTATAGATGTGCAGATCAATTCATCTTTATTGTTGAGACTTATTGAAATTTTCCCTTTTACTAAGTGACCATTTATTTAAATTTACGATCTAAAGCTATAAATATATTATCTATGGATTACTTAGTTATACAAATGAATCTAACGCATGCTGAATATCAAAATTTCGTGCAGAGTATTCTACCTTGTGATGACACATATGCAGTGATAAATAAAATACGTGACGTATATTTTAATACGTTCTAATATAAATGTCAATTCAGGGTGATGTGACGTTATCCATTGCGTCGAATCGAAAATTATTTATATGTATAAGAGTAGTTTATTAATTTGCCGATCTGCATAATTGATTAAATTGAAACTGTACAGAATTCTTTGGAGAAAAGAGCTTGCACATATAGCGGTTAGTTTCAAATTGAATTATCTATGAATCGTGACAGAAAGGCATCGATGTAAGCTTCTTCGTGGTTTCAATCCAATTAATCAAATTAAAAATTGGCTCTAACCCGCAGCCTGTTCTCATTTTTTACAATCTCGAATGTACACAAGCAGCTAAGATCCCTCAAGAGCATCGATCCCTCCACTAAATTTGTAGTGTAAAGGAAAAAACCCTGCGAATAAGGACAGGCGAGGTGGTCGTATACGGTATGAAAACGTACAAAGCGAAAGAGATCACACAAGTTCACATTCATAACTGTGTAGTGATGATACATCCTTTCTGATGACTCACGACTTAAGAAGCGTAAATTAATCTAAAAGTAGGTAGGCTTTGAGCAGGTTTTATTGACGGAGTGCACAAACATGCGTGCATGTATTGTCTCGCGCTTCAGTATGAACACATGACTGACAGGGATGGCGCATAAAAAAGGAGAAAGAGAGACTGTTGTGACCTAATGTTCGAGAAAGAGTGAGAAAGAGATCCTGACTATATACACTTTTCGCTCGTCAGAGTGGGGATAGAACTAGCTGCTCTGTCTCCCCTCGTAACGAATACACCTCGCCGAGAAGGCGGTTGTATCAAAAGGAAGCTCATAACGGACTGGAAGAAAACTTGTATCACTGGCGAGGCAAGTGAAATGCGTTCTAGCCACAGTTGAAGTTCGCCGGCCATTAGAGATTGAACGCTACTTTTAATTATCAAATCGCTGAACGAAACCTCTCCCCTCCTCTGCCAGTCATCGCCTGCTAGCGTGCCTCTGTGTGTGTGTGTGTGTGTTGTATATGCTCTGGTGTATGCGTGCGCGCACGGGATCCGTGTGTCCATATATAATACACGAGAGCGGCTGCTGCTGTCTCTCTTGGTTGCGCTTGTGGTCCCTCGAATGTAGTTCTTTTTTTGAATTTCTCAGTTTCAAGCTTGTAGCGTCCCAGTGATACATATTGAGAGAAGCGAGAGCTAGCTTGGTGCGATCTCGAGGCTCGAGAGAGTGTGCGGAGAGTGTCGCGTGCGTGCGTGTGCGCTCCGAAAAATTCGCGAGAGAGTTAACGCCTGTGGCGCGCCGCCGCCACCGCAGCCGGTTGACAGCAGCAGCCTACCAATTACGAACGAACGACCAAAGGGCAGCAGGTAGACGTAGCCACGATGGTCATCAAAGTCTACATATCCGGCATCAGCGGCAATAAGGAAGTGAGTCTTCTCTATCTTTCAACTAAACACGCCTCGCTGCTTTTGCCTTTTTTCTCATACTTTACCCTTTTATCGCTGACTCAAAGAGAGATTGTCCTCTCTCTCTCTCTCTCTCTCTCTCTCTCTCTCTCTCTATATATATATATATATATATATATATATATATATATATATATTTCTCTCTCTCGTTCTTTTATCTGCTGTTACGCCACTCTTTCTCTGTCTCGTGATTTTTCGCCTATGAATCCGTACTAGCCGAAACTGCAAAGCAACGCTTCGCGAGTATCGGATTACAATGATTCGTATGTAGTAGATAACTATTAGTTATCGGCCGTGCAGCAACGATGCTCTCTGAGTTTGCCCTGTATAAAGCCCGTCCCCGTGTGCTGCACCTGAGCATAAGCATACGTTAATTTCGGTGTGAGCTTTTTCACACGTTGTTTGCTACTCTGTTCTTCTTGGCATATAGTTCTACGGGCGCTCATGCGCGTGTTTTGTATTATTTATAACTGCAAGCACTTATTTTTTCTTTTACTTACCCGCCGTCTCAATAATTCTGCTTTTTTTTAATTGTCGCATCCCTCGTTTATTCCGTATCGTCCCTAGTTTGCACATTATGCATTAATGTTGTCTATTAATCTTTATTTTTGATTTCACTATTTTCAGGTGAAGAAGAGGCAGCAGAGAGTGCTGATGATTTTAGAGAGCAAAAATGTAGAATACCAAGTTATTGATATCACTGAGCCTGGCAAAGAGGCTGAAAAAGAGTTTATGCAAGTCAACAGCATGGCAAAGGATAGTAAATATCCACTGCCTCCCCAAATATTCAATGAAGAAGATTACTGTGGGGTAGGATCTAAATAATCATTTTTTTTTCATTTAATATTTCATACACATGTATGTTTATTATCTAATACACTAGGATTATGAAGATTTCGATGAAGCCAATGAGTTGGATGAACTTGAAAAATTTCTTAAGGGACCTACTGTTACCAGTAATGAAAATACAGACAAGTCACAAAGTGACGTTCAACAGAATGGCAATGCTTCTAGTCGAGAGGTACAATACTTTCCTTCATTTTCATTCTCAAACTATTTTTTTTGATTGTTTATATAATACTTTTATTTTTATTAATAATTAATCATTGTATTTTTAGCCTTCCATAGATAAAGATAACACAGCAGTTGTAGCTGATAAGTGAGTATGACAAAAACATTTAAGCATCTATTTTTCATAATCTTTTATTAATTCGAAAATCTTATTTAATAGTTCAGAAGACAGAAAGGCATTGGAGACTGATAATGTAAAGCATTCTGGTTCTGAAACAGAGATCAAAGACTTGTCTGAAGATGATGGAGATCTCGAGAAAAACAGTGAAGATAAACCACAAGAAATTAACAATGATGATGAATAGAAAGTGGCATTATTAAGATAAAATGGCAATAATACTAAATACTGAATTAATAGCGACCGATTCTTCCTTCAAGAATGACTTATTTCATAAAGTTGCCACTTTGCATATATCAAGTTTAAACTGCTAGCAATACGTCCATGTAAATTTTGGAAGATGAAACGGAGCTTGCTATTGGCACTTTTTTTCAAGTGCTTTTCCAAGTATTTTTTGTATGCAGTCAACTCAAAATCAAGTCCAAACTTACTCGCTTAGTGTTTATTTTTCATAATTTTTTCATTCTCTTAGGTATATGAATATTGAACAGAGGAAATTATATTTTATTTTATGCTTTTATGTTGCAATTGAAAAGTTTGTACATATAAATTAAATCTTGTAGCTCTAAACAAATTTATGAAATCACGATTTATTTGTAAAAATCAGTTGCATAGCCTAAAGCGAATTTGTATTTGATCAAGTTAAAAGAGACTGCTAGCTTATAACAAGAATAAATGTTGAAATGTACATTCCTGCAGCTAAAAGTTGTCCTTGCCTTAAAAGATTTATTTCGACGAGAAATTCTTTGAAAGTATCTTTAGATACATATAAATATAACAAAAAAGTGAGATAGGATAGAAACAAGTTAAATAACATAAAATTCGATAAATATATCTTGTATTTTGAGCAAAAACATTATTTACATAACGCGTAGGAATAACTAAATTTTATAACAGGTATAAATTATTATATTATCGCGACTAAAACTGTTTTATTTAATTACAAAAGCTTATAAATTGAAACTTATTGGTCCAAATAATAACCGTCATAAAAACTATAAGATTGACTATTAGGAATATAATTAAGCTTTGGTAATATTTAAAAAATGATATTGCGTCCATCTTACTTTTGATCATAAGCCGAGATTTTTCAATTAAAAATAGTTTATATATATTTTTAGGAATGCTTAAATATTACATTAGGCATTAATTTGAACGCATATGTTTGTCTTCCACATCTTTGTAAATTTCTTTGACAGTTGAAAATATCAATCTATCGTAAATTTCTTCGTTGCGCCTCGATCTGTACAGCCTGAAATCAATAACAGCGTCAGTATCATATAAAAATTATCATATCAATACATGTCATTTGAAAAACATGAAAATTGGAACTTATCATTTTTAACAACATATTTCTTAATTCTTTTAGAAAGTGAATAAAAGGTGATGAATAAATTAAATATTTTTATAATGATACTTGTTTTTAAATAATGCACGAAATAACAATTTTATTATTATTTTATTTTTTCACATTGCAAAAATTACAGCACCCTATAACATTAGACGTCTTTGAATTTTATTCAAATAATTCGAATATTACTTTATTCAATGATTCAAAGAAAATCAAATCGTTGAAAAAGTTGTTACATTTATAATGTTTTTATTACAAATAATTTTTTTTCACAGTGGATCACATGACAAAATTTAGATCAAAATTTAAGTTTCATATAACATGAGATTTGACTTTCTTGCTGTTAGTATACACTGGCGGGATTCAATTAATTGATATATATAAAAATATGATAGCTATATTTATAAAAATATGATTTCTCAATTTATTTTAAATCTATAATTTGACAGCACTTATGAATTCATTTAAACGTTAAAAAGTTAGTTTGAACATATCCGTTACTAATAAATATATTTTTACAAATCAATTCTATCAAACAGATCATAAAAAATATTTAGTCTTACGAGATCTAACATTCCACATTTAAAAAATGTAATATAATGAAATAAACACAGTCATTCATTTTCTACATTAAAATCTATAAGATGAATTATAGTGATTTATTTTATTACATTGAATTTTATGAATGAGCTCGTAAGACTGAACAATATTTGTGATTGGTATAAAAAAACAAGCTATCTTATTTTAATCTATGAAACAGATTTTGCCGTTTTTAATTAAACTTTATTATGCAACAGAAAAGTATTGGTTTCTTACAAGGAGTTTTAGTTATATTGCACCACAATCGAATAAAATAATTCTATACAGCACTTTAATTGATGTAAATGCAATATAGCTATACAAAAGAAATTGAAAAATAATTTATAGTCACAGTATAAGTTGATCGTGCTATTGTGTTTTATTTGTAGCATGATTTGGAAATTCAATCATTATAAAAGATTTTTTGGTATCAAAAAATGTTAATAAGACACATGATCTTAGTAGACGATAAATTCGCAAATATTTATGCTGTACAAAAAAAAAACTTGAAATGCTGTACACAAGTTAATTATATGTATATAATTAGCTTAATGGATTGTACAAGTTCCATGAAGCTAGAGACAAATTTTTACATTACAATTTCAGTTTGTTAAGTTGTTTTTGGTTATTATACAGATGACATTTGATTGAACATTTAGTCAAATATAGTCCATAATCTACAAGCCACTAAATTGTTAAATCAATATTAACAAAAAATCAATTATAAAAGAAAGTGTATATGTATAGAAAATAAATTATTGAAAGAGGTGTAAAAAGTTAAAGTATTTCAAATTACATTTTGTTAAGTGCACTCATTTTGAGAATAATTAAAGTGAAAAATATGATTAAAATGAATTAAATTCTATATGCTAATCTTGCACACATATAATAGTTACATTATTTCTAATTGAGCAACTTTCTTCAGTACTGTTATTTAAGCAATCTTGATCTTGCAATTGCAAAAATATTCACGCACTTATAGATAACTTATAAATTATTTGAATGAGAAAAGTAAATAAATAAAATTAGTTTTAAAATACATTTGACCAAAATTATCTAAAGACTTTGTATAGCTAATTAATAACTAAATATCTTCACAATTGCAAGTTCTTTGATAGAGTTCCTCCAGTAATAATTTATTTTCTACAATATAAGTGTTTAATTTTTTTGACTTCTGAACCCTGTTGTAGCAATTGATACTAGCAAAGCTCAAACTAGTTTAGTCCGTACCAAAATATTTTTGTCCAAAGTGATTTGGAGCCACTGGGTGTATTTCTGATGTAAGTATTTTCATCTAAAAATGTTGAAAATTTACAATATATCTTTATAAAAAATATTGCTGTATATTACTGTCTTATAAAAAGTTACCTTAGGAAACGCAGTAACCAAAGTTTTTGCTGCAAATGGCGTACAAAATAAATTTGACAGAATAATGTTCTCTTCTAGCACACTGTGTTCTTTTAATACAGCTATTGCTTTTATCACAGTATTTCCAGTACCTATTTTATTAGTAAAATGATGTTTTAAGTATCAAATTTATCAACTAAGGTGAATCCTTACATTGGCAGGATTTACATTGTAAGGATTTACCTTAGGATTAAATTGTATAATACATACTCATTATAGGGTACATCAGTAGCACTTTTCTTTGAGCTATATCATCTGGAAATTTTGCATAAACAACTTTGGCTTCATGCGTATCAACATCACTTTCAACCAAAATTTTTCCAATCCTTATGCTACGACAACAATCTCTGAGACCTTGCTCCATTGCTTCTCCACTTCTTACAATTGATACTCCACAGTTTCCTTTTTGATATTTTAAACCTTTATATTTGGCACCAGTCGGTGTGGTGATTACACATTTTGAGAAAGGCAACTGATTTAGACTTTCCTCAATAACTAGCCTTATCTAATTTGAAAGAACAAAAATAATTATTTGTAATATAAGTTATATTATAGTGTTAGTAACAATTGTAATTTATATCGTTTACCAAACGATCCGCATAGAATTTAAAATCACTCCTGGTTGTAGTTCTACAATGCACATTAAACAATTGGAAATACCTGCAGAAGGTATAAGTGAAAAGGTTACACATGTGTATATACTTACTTGTCTCGTAAAATAGTTTGTAGCTCTTTAATTTGATCATTTGTCGGTAGAATTTTTAGATTTTGTCCATATTCATCTTCGACGACTTCGTTAGTTTGAACGGCATTACCATTTTCAGGCGATAACTTGTCAGTTACGAGGTCGGCACTACCCATCCTGTTGCGCAGAACTGTGCAATAAATTTGCTACAGGGCAGTTTTGTCCTTGTTTAAAATACAAACTGACACAAGTGTGATATAAACAGTGATATAACAGACAAATACTGCACTTCTTGGATCATGAATACGAATCTGCCTATTTCTATATATGTATTGTATGTAAAAGCAATATTCTAATTCATGTACTATTTTGTGGTCACGTAAGTGACCTTTCCAAAACGTTAAATTAAGTTTTGTTTAATCAATTAAAAAAAGTAGAAGCACACTGCTTGCTGAGGATTGTATATTTCTTCGAAGTTTGAACGATAAGAAAATGATTAACTAGCAGAAGTATATTTTAACTTAGCGAAGAATTAAGCGCCATGCCGATTCCATTGCACTATATTTATATTTTTCTCTCGAGTCTCGACACTCGACACTCGACTCTCGTTAGTCGACACACATATAGAGTAGAGCGACCTCTACTAACAATTGTCCACCATTTTCAAATTTTGAAAAAATACGGTTAGCTGTCCTGCGTACAGTAAATATTAGATATCTTACGCTGACCAATAATCTGTATTTTCACACATTTTTTCCCAAATTAATTTTTTCATCATTATAATTAGTGATTAGCTTTGTTCTAGGCCAAAACAGCCTAATCAATGCCTATTAATTACTATCACATGATGCGTTACTTTATTCTATAATATTGTGCTATCGTAATTCATTACACAAGTTCAAGTATCTGTGTTCTATAAATACTTCTGGATTGTGTATTTAGTTGCAAAAGTAAAGATACTTTCACCATTGTATACTTCTTCTGTAGCTTAAGGTGTTAATAATTATAATTTATTCATTTCAATTGATAGCTTGTTATTAAAAAATATACTTACAAATTATTTACAGATGAGTGACGATTTGGTAAAAGTAGCAGTTCGTATAAGGCCTCTAATTCAATCTGAAGTAGAAAAAGGCTGCCAGACATGCCTCAGTGTTATTCCTGGAGAGCAACAAATTCATATTCAGTCATCAGACAAATTTTTTACTTTCAATTACGTATTCCCTGCAGAAGTTAGCCAAGAAGATTTTTACAATACTGCAATAAAAAACATGGTTTCAAATATTTTTGAAGGTAATTGATAAACTTTTAATACAATATATAGATCATTATTTTATTTTTTTGTAAGTTATTTTCCAGGCTACAACGTGACAATTTTGGCTTACGGGCAAACTGGCAGTGGTAAAACTTTCTCTATGGGCACAAATTATAATGAGAATGATGCCAATTGTGGTATAATACCAAGAGCTGTTAATGATATATTTGAGCAAATTTCAGCAAAAGAAAAATTGGAATATAAAGTTACTGTTGCATTTATGGAATTGTACAAAGAACAACTGTATGATTTATTAGCCAAAAAGCCTCGAAGTCAATGTATGGTTGATATCAGGGAAGATGGAAAAAATATAAAAATTGTTGGTTTATCTGAAATTCCTGTAACAAATACTCAAGAAACTCTTCATTGTCTTGCTAATGGCTCATTAAATAGAGCAACTGGAGCAACTGCAATGAATGTACAAAGTAGTCGAAGTCATGCTATATTTACTTTATCTGTTTATCAACAGAAAAGAGATGATCCGTAAGTATTAACTATACATTAAAATTTATATACATCTAACTTAAGGTTTTCTTGTTTAGAAACACTGCCAAATTTGCCAAATTTCATTTTGTTGATTTGGCTGGATCTGAAAGAAGTAAGAAAACACAAGCAACAGGGGAAAGATTTAAAGAAGGTGTAAATATTAACAAGGGATTACTAGCTTTGGGAAATGTCATCTCACAACTTGGTGAAGGTGGAAATTCAACTTATATTGGATACAGAGATAGTAAATTGACACGTTTGCTGCAAGATTCTCTTGGTGGCAACTCTGTAACATTAATGATTGCATGTGTTAGTCCTGCAGGTTTATGTCAATCCAATAATTATATTGATTGATACATTGATACTGGTGACATATGTTTTCGACTTTTTAAATTTATCAATTTAATAAATGCTACTTCACAAACATATAATATTTAAAAAAAGGCTCACAGGTGAAACATTCCAAAATTAAAAATTGCTGAAATAATTTATTTTGTAAATAATATTAAATATTATGTAAAATTAAAAAAAAATATAAAAGGAAAATGTGCCAGTGTCAATATCTTGAAAGTGCGATGTTACAGTAACTTGCAATGTTTGACTTACAGATTACAATATTGATGAGACAACAAGTACATTGCGTTATGCAGATAGAGCCAAGAAAATTAAAAATAAACCTATCGTTAATCAAGATCCGCATGTTGCTGAAGTTAATCACTATAGAAAAATTATTCAAGAACTGAAATCTGCTTTGTTCAGTAAAGATGGAGGTGGAAATTTGTGTCCTCAAGAACATGCAGAGTTGATGGAAAAAAATGAATCTTTGCAGAGAAAGTTAAGAGGATTAACAGAGACATTAAATCTTAATTTAGTTGAAATGGTTCATATGCATGAATTATCAGAATTAGCTGAGAAATCACGAGAGAAATTAAAAAATGCCATTTCAGCTATTTTGGAAGATTGCGAAAATTTACTTAAAGATTTTGATAATGATCTAAATGATATTGAAAATCATAAAGTGAAGTTGGAGAATATTTGTTTTAAAATCATAAGTATGAAGTATATTATTACTCATATTTAAAAATAATTTCTTATTTTCTGAAAATACTCGCTTATAATTTACATTTTGACCATTCAAATTTATCATTTCATTATTTTAGTGTTACAAAAAGAGCAAAAGCAAGCTGTGGAGGAGCTAGTAAGCCATGAGCTATCTGTTGAATCTGCAAAAAATGATAGCTTAAATTCTGATTCTATTTTGAGTAATCCTGATGAAAATGGAGTACACAATGAAACTTATGACATAGATGAGAAACATGAAGAACATACTCTACAACAAGCTGAAAGGGTAGATGAAGTTCAGTATATTAATCGGCAACTAGCTATAAAAGAAGAATTGGTCTCTAATCTTTTGAAAAATTCATCCCAATTGGTAGAGTATCAAAAAGAATTGGAAGAAATGGAACAAGAAATAAAGAGTTTGCAAAGTGAAAAAGAAGAGTTGATACAAGCACTTCGCAACGCTCAAACTAATAATGCCTGTGCAAAGTATGTATATAACCATTTTATTTATAACATTTTGATTAATCATTTATTAACCAGTAACATTCAATTTAAGATTATCTGAAACTCGGCGTAAAAAAGTACAAGAATTAGAAAAACAAATTACTGAATTGTCACGCAAATGCTTAGAGCAAAATAAGATTATCAAAGGTAAAGAAAAATCAGATGTACAAATAAAAAACTTGTCTAATGAAATAATGGCTTTGAAGCAAACCAAAGTTAAGTTAATAAAAAGCATGCGAATTGAAACTGATAAATTCAATAAGTGGAAAAGACTAAGAGAACAAGAACTGTCTAAATTAAAAGATCAAGATAGAAAGCGTGTTAATCAAATTTCAAAACTTCAGGCCGAACACGACAAGCAAAAGAATGTTCTCAAGAGAAAATTGGAAGAAGCTCAAGCAATTCAAAAAAGGTTAAAGGTAAATAATTGTCCTTATAAAACATCTTTGTAATCGTAATCAATCATAATTGTATGATAAAGCGGATTCACTTTCATAAACACGTTTTGACACGGGCCTTTATTTGTTAAATTTTACGTAACACAAATAGATTTATATGAATGCCGAGGTTAATTGTAGAAATAATTCTTTAATAAATTATATTGTCATCAACAACCGAAGTGTTTTCGAAAATAGTAAATGCTTCATAAAGACATATATATATTTAAATATTTACTTCGCGAATAATTTTTTACAATTGTAAACGTAAACGAACATTATTAGTAAGTTTTGCAATTATCGATGATTTGAATTGTAATTCTGATATAAACGAACGATTCTATTACTACTGATAAAATATCTAATTTTTATACAAATATTTATAATTATATAATTTTTTCGAAGAATGCTTTGGATTCACAAAAGAAAGTTGCTACTCTACGGCGGGAAAAAAATGTCAATTCAAAAGAAGACGTTTCTTCTTGGGTAAATCAAGAACTAGAAGTACTTATGAGTACAGTAGATGCCGAATGTACAATCGAGAGACTGAAAGCTGATAAAGCAGTGTTAGCTAATCAGTTAGCTGAACTTCAATTAAACCACGAATCAAGACATCAAGCACAAATTGAGGAACTTGTGGAATTTGTTGAATTAAGGAATATACAAATTAATGATCTTGAACAACATGTTAAGGAATCCAAACAAGGTTCTCTCAAAAATTTTCATAGATAATTGAAATTGTTTCGATCAAATTTTAATATAAAGGATATTTTGCAGAAAACAAAACGAAATCAAGGTGGCACGTCATATCCTCTATGGCGGATGCTAAAGATGCTTTAAAAATACTCTTTGAAATTACAGCTTCAAATAGAAAAGACTTCAGTATACTAAAATCACAACTTGATGATGTGATGGTAAATATTGACTGAAAAATTTGATGAAACTTACGTTTTCAAACAAATACCTGCATAACTCAAAATCATATTGACACTTTTCAGGAAACTAACGAAAAACTAAAAGCTACAATTGAGAAATACCAACTTGGTGAATCGAATTCCAAAATGAGGAGAGAACGATTGGGTATGCAATTGAATAATGACTCAACAATTGAAAAAAATCAAATTATACAAAATTTGCAAAAGCAGCTCAACTTTTACAAAGAAAAATGTGAAAATTTAGAAAACAAGGTATCTCAAATTTTTCCAAAACAAATGTATTATTGAAAAAATTATATTTACAAAAAATTGGTATTGTTGCAGGTGTTAACAGAAAGGGATATAAATATAACTGAGAAAAAGCCGATGTATAAAGCAGTTAAAAGTGTTATAAAGCAAAGCGTAAATCCTTATGATAGCTTCACTATAACAGATGACAGTTTGCTAGAAGAAGATGATGACGAAAATGATCCAGATTGGCAAAAAACGCCATTGTATACAAGAATTCGCAAACAAGAAGTATTTATTATACGCTACATTTTGTTACTCTAGTTTTATATAAAATAATAATAATTAATTTGTCGTTAAAGCACGAGCTTAAGCAAGTTGCAAGGGAAAATAAAATAACGCTAAAGAGGTCCTCGGGTGGACAAGTTAAATGTAACTGTAAAACACAATGCCAATCACGAATTTGTTCATGTAGAAAAAATGAAGTTTCATGCGAAAACTGCAACTGCAGTCCACTTTTATGCACAAACAGAAGTGTCGATGTAAGAACTAGATATATTTTTATCAGTTCATCAAAAAATCAACAATATACCAATATAAAATTCTGATTTTTCAGACTCGGAGAACTCTATTTTCAGACGGACATGAAACTAATGATGGTGACATTAATATTGAAGTCAAAAAACAAAAGCAAGTTTTTGCTTCTATTCCAAGACAAGATTAAAAAATGAAAAGTAATAAACTAATTTGTATTTTTTTCTATTTTAGACTTGAAACTGAATCTTAAGATAATAGCCATCAAAAAGCAAATTTCTAGATTAACGAAGATTAATTTATGCTATTAAAACTACGCAAAACTATTATCAAAAAGCAACATATTGTTGAAGAGTTGGATTTCTTGTAATTGGCTAAACTTGTTTATTCTTAATCTTTCATTTAGTGACTAAAAGAATAAAATATTGTAATTAAATACTTTGAATTCAAATAATTGTATGTACATACATAATTTTGAAATGATTAAGAATAGTAGTTTGAAAAACACTTTACAAAGACAGTAAAATAAAGCTTCAAATAAAGCGAGTAAATAGTTTCTCTAATATATCTAATAATATTTCAGGTAAGGAGTTTTTTTGTATAAATTATAAATACTTTAATTAGATAAAGTAGTACTTTACGCAACTAGTGCGAGAGGAACGCGTTGCGTATACTATGTTTTATACAAAAATGCGAGAAGCTCGTTCAAATATTTAAAAATATATTACAAATAGAACAGCCATTATTTAATAACTACTGAGGATATTGAAATACAAAAAAATGTGACGTTTGAATAACTTTTTAAATTAATTATCGAAATATATTTGACTTTTTAATAAAAAAATGTACCTTTTCACTTAATCGATCATCAAAGGATGCATCATTTAAAAATCGCTTGTGAAAACCTTTGATTTCTTTTTTTTGTGAAGCGATTATTCTTTTTAATCTTGCAATCAGCTTGTGGTACATACTAATATCTATATTATCAAACGTTTTCAGTGTACTTTTTAATATAGAAAACTTTACCTATAATGTTGATGGTGAACGGGATTTTTCTAGCTCGTTAAAATACACTAAAAAGACTTCTTCCTTGAATGAATTTGTCTTTGCTGAACGCCATGCTTTGAATTGATTGTAGCATGATACGTATAAACGTTTCGATGATTCAGGTAACAAATTCAAAATCACATCTTTTGCAGCTTCGATAATTTCAGAAGGTAATTCATCATTACTTTCTGATATACTTGAATCACTATTAGAATTCATTTTTAATTTCTTTAATTGTCACAAAAAACTACACTTGTACAATTAATTACGACCACACTAACAATTGAACCGCAAAAAGAATTTGTTATACCTCCATATAGTCAGTTACACGACTGAACGATAACTAGGAAAATGCACGGCCGACTGTACGTATTAAAAATTAGTAAAAAGGGTCAAAAAAGAAGATACTTAGGAAGACGCAGGTAGTCAAGGCCTGTACCAAGGTATCGGTGTTCGATGACACCAGGAAAAACCCAACACGTGGGGGGAAAGTCGTTTAAGTGATTAGGGAAAGCATAGCTGCTCTCGGAGGACTCCCTGTTTTCGGTCTCGTGGTTTAGCGGTTTATGTAATAAGTTAAAAAAAAAATTGTAAAGCAAATGTGAGTCAAAATTGTCGCCGTCCCTTTCAGTACGATAAACTCGCCTATGCAGATGTGTTTCATATTCTAGGCGGTCATTTGAACTTCTTAAACACACGGGCATTGTATTTCATTTCTTCTCGCACGCTCTCGCTTTGGCTCTGAACACGTGCGATTATAGCCGTCTTTACACACAAAAAAGTGTGTAAGAATTCGAGCTTCTCGCACGATTGTATAAAAAAAGATAATATTATCATAAAGAGGTACTGATAATCACCGCTTTGACCGGGGGCATAGTAGTAGTGCGCAGCTCACTCCGCGCTCTTTCGGGCGCCGTTGCGCTGTTGCGGCCGCCGTTGTTCATGACGTGTCATGGCAGTCGAATTTTTGATGTGTTGAACGATTATAAGAACTTTGGCAAACTTGTGAGAGTCTTGTATGCATACGCCGAAAAGCACACACAATTCATTAAAAAGTCTATAAAGCAGCGCGTACCATGCTTACTAGTAAATTTTTGTTTTTAAATATTTGACCTACTGCGTGTGACTCGAATGAATCACACATACATATCTAGTGTAAATCGGGTGACAATTAGTAGCGCAATATAATAACTGGACAACAAGTACAAAAGCGCACAACGTTAGTGTCTGTGTTGCAAGTGTGAAAAATCGCCACAGGCGAGAAAAATGTCGAAAACGATTTTTCTCTTGTATGCTTTATGCATATTTACTGGTAATTATGCTTTTTATCTGCCAGGCCTTGCACCGGTTAACTTTTGCGAGCAAGATGCGGAAACATGCAAGGTATTTTTTTTCATCAAATCTTTCCGCTTTGTAAATTTATTTTTATTTTATCTTCTAATACTAGAATATTATTATTTTCTTACCGGTTCTTTTATTTTATCCTCGTTTTTCTATTTTATCTTAATTATTTAGATAAGTATTTGTTATTTTAAAGGTTACTATTTCTCTTGCTTTATATCCTGTGCTGTTACATTAAATCTATGATTCAAATAATGTACTTGAATAATCTACCATAATAATATTTACTACTTGTGCACATATGGGTACATACTGAAAATTTCATAATATTTTTTATATTTCAGTCTGATATTCGATTATATGTGAATCGTCTGAATTCTGAGCAATCGGTGATTCCTTTTGAGTATCATCAGTAAGTTAAAAAATGATAAAATCATTCTACCAAATACTAAGATGATCAATACATTTTGCAGCTTTGATTTTTGCCTAACTGACGAAAGCCAATCCCCATCTGAAAACTTAGGTCAAGTTTTATTTGGAGAACGTATACGTCCTTCTCCTTATAAAGTAATATAAATATGCATTTCTTTTGTTAACGCTATAATTTCATATGTTTTTACTCCTTTTTTCTTAGTTAAAGTTCAAAGTTGATGAAAAATGTGCAAAAGTTTGTTCAGTAAAAAAGTATTCTGGTGATAATGAAGAAGATGAAAAAAAATTACAAGTTTTAAGAACAGGAATACAATATTCTTATCAACATCATTGGATAGTTGGTAAGCATTGATAACTTTTATAAACATGTGAGATTTTTTTGAATAAATGATTTTTATTTACATGTAGACAATATGCCAGTGACTTGGTGTTATCCTCTGAATGATGGTCATCAGTATTGCAGCATTGGTTTCCCAATGGGGTGCTATTACAAAGAATCTTGGTCTCAACAAGACAGTTGTAGCATAGATGTAAGCCCAGTAAAAAAATTATATTTTATGTATTATATTCACTATAATCTTAACTCACTTTCAATTTTTAGCCAACCTTGTACAACAAACCTAAAACTTACTATCTGTTTAACCATGTTGATTTATTGATTACTTATCATAATGGTGCTAATGAAGATTGGAATGCTGGAACAAAGACAAGTAGCGGCCGAATAATATGTAAGCATCTCAAACATTTATTGTAAAAACTTTAATATACTTTGCTTATTTTCTGATGTTATTCTGTTAGCTATAAAAGTTACACCACGAAGTATAAATCATGACAACTTTGAGTCACCAGATTGTCAGAATAAAAAGCCACTAGAAATACCTTCAGAACGATTGGCACCTAATCAGAAAATCAATGTGTTGTATACATATAGCATCCGTTTTCAAGTAAGTTTTGCAATTTTATATAAAATCTAATTCAATAGAGTTAATATGCTGGATAATTTTAGGAAAATAACACTATCAAATGGTCTTCAAGATGGGATTATATTTTAGAATCCATGCCCCATACTAATATACAGTGGTTTAGTATACTTAACTCTCTAGTTATTGTATTATTTTTGTCTGGAATGGTGGCAATGATAATGCTTCGTACACTACATAAAGACATTGCTCGATACAATCAAGTAAGTCACAAATGTTAAAAAATGAAATCGACAGAAATGTACATCAAATTATAACATGATAGCCTGATTATAAACTTGGCAGTTCTTAAAGTTCTAATCCCTTTTACAATGCATGTGATTGTATTAGAAAGGGATCAACGATAGCTTTGTGTAAAATTGTCTGTGTTATCGTAACGCAGGCTTATTTTCAGATTGAATCAGGAGAAGATGCTCAAGAAGAATTTGGATGGAAACTGGTTCATGGGGATGTCTTCAGACCTCCCAGGAAAGGAATGCTGCTGTCAGTACTTTTGGGATCTGGTGTTCAAGTCTTCTTCATGGCACTAGTCACTTTGGGTAAAATTGATCTTGTTTAAAGTAATATTTCAAGTTATAATTGTGACATGTTTTTTAGCCTTTGCTTGTCTCGGATTTCTTTCACCTGCAAATAGAGGAGCTCTTATGACTTGTGCTATGGTTTTATATGTGTGCCTGGGAATAGCTGCCGGTTACACTTCAGCTCTAATTTATAAAAGTTTTGGCGGAGAAAAATGGAAATCAAATGTTTTGCTTACATCAATGTTGAGTCCAGGGTACGTTGATGTACAATACATAAAAAGCATTGAATTTCTATGGTCACTTCTAGTGATTGTATAATTTACATTTGAACTTGATCGTTTTCAGAATAGTTTTTAGTCTATTTTTCATTATGAATCTAATATTTTGGGCTGAAGGAAGCTCAGCAGCTGTTCCTTTCAGTACTCTAGTGGCTATTCTAGCTTTGTGGTTTGGTATATCTGTTCCTTTGACCTTTGTTGGGGCATACTTTGGTTTTAGAAAAAGGGTAATAATATGATCAAATGCACAATATTGGTTATAAATGTGTTTGTAAAAATTTATACTTGGCCATAAAAATATTTTAGGCTATTGAACATCCCGTTCGTACGAATCAAATCCCTCGTCAAATACCTGAACAAAGTTTTTATACACAAGCAATTCCTGGAGTCATTATGGGAGGTGTTTTACCCTTTGGATGTATATTCATACAATTGTTTTTTATTCTCAATTCTCTATGGTATGTAGTACATTTTAAAAATGATTTTAAAAATTGTAAATAACAATATATTTTTTCAGGTCGAGTCAAATGTATTACATGTTTGGCTTTTTATTCTTAGTATTTCTTATTCTTGTGATCACATGTTCTGAAACAACTATTCTTCTGTGTTATTTCCATCTTTGTGCCGAGGTAAATATACGTAAAATTGGAAATAAATCATTATTAAAATACAAATCGTCACGAATTTTTGTGTCAACTATAGGATTATCATTGGTGGTGGCGTAGTTTTCTTACGTCAGGTTTTACAGCATTCTATTTACTAATTTATTGCATACACTACTTTATAACTAAACTCAATATTGAGGATGCTACTTCAACCTTTCTTTACTTTGGATATACTATGATTATGGTTTATTTGTTTTTCCTATTGACAGGTAGGTTATTATATACTAAGAATGAAATAGATTTGATTTGATCTATTTACTTGAAAAAATTTATACTTACAGGTTCTATTGGCTTCTTTGCCTGTTTATGGTTTGTTAGAAAAATTTACAGTGTAGTCAAAGTTGACTAATTTGACCGCAAGTGAACTACAAAATATTGAAAATATCTTAATCACATACAAAATCCAAAGGGAAATAGTTTAGTTTTCTTTTTTTTTGTAGGAAATTCATAAATTTCATATTTCTAGCATAATAGCATCATTTCCTTTGGTAAAATTGTGTACTACATACAAAATTGTAAAAAAAAAACTATCTAAGTACACTGAAATGTAATGAAAACTAGTAGAACGATGGATTTAAAAAAATATCTGTCATAAGAGAATACAAAAGCAGAACGGATTGATCATGTTGACAGAATTAATTTTTCATCGAAATTATTTTTTTTTGTCGTTTTACTTTTATATAGCTAAAATAAAGAAAACTTGATTAAAGTCTGTAACAATAACTTGTGAAATGTTAACTTATTATCATTTAATTTAAGAATTGATGTATAACACAGACAATTTCTAATGCGACTCCACTAAAAAAATGAAGAATTATCTTTAACGTGACTAATACGTTTGGAAAATTTGAAAAGATTTTATTGCAAAATAATATTAAAAATAATACAAATATTAAAATATCTTGCTTTGATTTTTAATAATGATGTAGAAGAAATAGAAAGATAAGATGGTCAAATGCACACGAAAGTGTCGATGATTTGTGTAAATTATTGTGATGTTAAACAGTGTTATTAATGAAAAAAGTGAGTCATACTAGTGTCAACACATTGTAGTAATATTTATAAAGTAAGGATTATAACCATCGTAAATTTTTCCAAATTTTTTCAATAATAGTAGGTACTAGAATTTTTTTCACTGAAAATAATTCTTCATAACAAGATTGTACAACTGTAAATTTTTAGAAATAATTATGAAATCGTGTACAGTGATGAATAAATGTGTTTGCGTTTTCTATTTCTAATATAATAATAATAATAATAATAAACAACTTCATAAATAAAGAAAAAATGTCTTATTTATTTCTTAGTATTTATTATATAAACAGCTACAAATGGTGTATGTTATAATAACATTTGACGACTACAAAGAGACAAGAAATTGTAACTGACTTTAATTCATAATAATAGAAATTTTACAATTTTATTACTTCTAGAAATAAATCGAATACACGTATATACAGTTGATTTTCCAATACTTGAAGAAATATTTCACAATAACAATGTACTTCTATTGTACTTTGTATACAATAGCATGTATCTTGTAAGCAAATATTTTTTCAAAAATGTAAACTTATAAGAAATTTGGAGAAGCTTTGTGAGTACTACATCATAAAAAAAATTGGTTTTATGACAACGTTGTATACGGCGCTCAGCCGTTGAAGTATACTTTTCATAAATATGATAGTTCAATTAAGTTTCAAAATCCTAAATTTTTTTTACAACTGGTAGAATTATTTTTTGTGAAATTCCTCCAAGTTTAATGTCTACACACATAAGATATCAAAATGTCTGTAGTCATAAAGAAATTCCTTGATGATCCTGCGATTTTTGAAGACTTAACGCCTCTGGGAGATTACTAAGTTGTTTGATGACCTGTAAGAATCATGCTTAATGGTGAAAATAAAGGTTGGGAGTAGCGAATAGGAATTCATTCAAGTAAAATTTCAGGAATAAGTAAATAAAAACTATTATATCATTTTTTTCAAACAGCATGAACATAAAAACCAAATATGCCAATAAAATGTTAATAAATACGTGACAACAAGGAATTGTGAAAGATGCTGATTTAAATAAACAATTTGGATGAAAGTGCCAGGGACTGAAGAAATTTGAAAGGTTTGAAAGAAGGTTTTAAGAGAATAAGGTAGGAAATATGTATTAAAAAAAAAGTCAGAAAAATTTATTTTCGAGGGCTACGACGACGTCGAGAATCTCGACTTCGTTCAGCTCGTCTCATTTCTTCTAATCTACGTGCATGTTCAGCCATATGTTGCCTCCTCATTTCCTCTTTAACCATAATCTAAATTGAAAATGAAATTTATTTAACGTAATTACGTAAAATTTTAATTTATTAAAGCAACTTTAAATATTTTTACCTGTTCATTAGTCAATGGCAACCAATATATACAAGGCGTGGATCTAGTTTTCCTAAAAAGATCGTCCAAAAGTTTCGCTGTGGGAGGTTCTTCTTCCTTTTTCTTGAATTTTCGAGCAGGAGGTGGAAGGTGAGCTTCGAGTAACGGACTTCTACTTCTTTGTCGTTTCTTTTTCTCTAATTCCTTGCGTTCACGTTCCTTTTCTTTTAGGCTTAAATGGCCATCTTCTTTTCCTAAATCCCACTCTCGAATAACAGTGATCTGTCAAAAAAATTTTTTAAATTATTGAAATACGTCATATCTTCATGTTAACATTTTTATTTATCGACATACCTTATTTATCACAGTACTTCGATCTTCCCGCGACCATTGATCTTGTTGCCACGACTCAGTAGATAACATAGGCTCAGCTGCTTTTCTTACAACTGGTTGATCTTTTAATGAATCACGAGCTGCTTCCATATCTTCTTTTGTAGCATATTCTACGACGAGTTTCTTTGGATTCGATGGAGGCCACGATACTCCATGTAAGGCTTGTCTCGTTTCAAAAGCTTGATCCTCGTTTGCATACTAGAATGAAAATATATACATACATACATACATACATACATACATACATACATACATACATACATACATACATACATACATACATACATACATAATACACACACACACATACACACGCGCGCGCGCGTGTATATGTATATGGATGAATATGCCTACTGCTGTAATTAAATTAGCTCATACCTCCACAAAACATTTAGATTTTATCCTATCCATCCAAAATCCATTTTCAGCTATGGTGCCAGTACGAGATAAAAGTTCTTTTATTTGATTTAGTGTAAAAGGGCGAACTAAATTTTTTATCAGAAGAATTTTTGTTGCTTGAGGTTCTGGCGGACTTGGTGAAGTTGGACGAGGTGTTTCTTTAATGCTTATTTTTCGTCTACTTGCTAAAAATCAATTAATAATTTTATTGTTTGAAAGGACGTATTCTTTCACAGTAAATAAAGTAAAAGTATAGAATAAAATAAACAAAATTCTACCTATATGGTTATCCATTTTATCATCTCCTTTACGGTTTGTATCATTTCTTGATGAAGCATCATTCTTGGGCTTGTGACCATCAACATCTTCACTTTTATCTTTGTAGCGATCCTTATCTTCATCTTCATCCTTACCAAGTCGTACTTCGTTCATTGATAAAGGTTTAGCACCCGGCACCAAAGCCTGAAATAAAATGAAACGTGAAAGTTTCAGTATAAAAATATACAGACGTAATAAATACCTTTAAGGAATCTGTAGAAATTGAAAATGCTGGTGCTACATCAGTCGTAGTTGTAACACCCCAACGCCGTCTTTTTGTAGAATTTTTCCGATCTGGTTGTTCATTGTCAGCATGATTTTCCTTTTTTATAATTATAAACGATGAAAAATCCATCAATTCTAAATATTAAATTAAAATTACGTCATTAGAAATTATTTTTACCTTGTTTTGATTGTCTTCAGTCATGTTGCTTTCTTCTGTCTTCTTTTCTGAATCTGTAGGCAATCGAGTTGTGCTGAAAAGATAGTGATATCAGTTAAAAAATATCAAAATTAAATTTATGCATTAAAAAATATGCTTACAATGATCGTTTTAAGCTCACTTTTGCTGGTTTGGACACGGAAAGTGTTACATTCAAATCATCTGATTTTTCATTTATTTCCAGAATATCATCTTTCTCTATAATACTTTCTGAAAGTTCTATTTCTGGTTCCACATTAGTAGACATAGAATTTTCATCAACATCTGTAGATTGAACTGTTTGATTTTCGTTGTTTCTTTTGTTATTAATATTTTGAACACGGAGAGAACCTTCCTCTTTTTCCTGTGTTTCATCATTTCTTGATATACTTTGTTCGTCATCTGATGATTCAGATGCAAAAGGTTCATCATATTTAGATGGATTTTTTGTTCTTGGTGATTGCACCTGATTGTCTTGAATATCTGATTTATCTCTAGAATCTGAGGCATTGTCAGAATTTGTTTCTTTTTCGAATTCAATTTGTTCATTTTCATTTCTGATAAGCTTAGTATCTACAGACTCTTCATCAACTGCTAAACTTTCGGTTTCAAGATTACATGTTGCTATATCTGAAACTGTTTTATTTTCTTCAATCAGTGATCCTTCATGAATCTCTGAATTTTCCTCTCCTGATATAATATTTGTCAAGGGTTCATTACTCACACTGACATTTATATCAATAGGTGGTTCAGATAATATTGTATTAGAGGAAAAACATGCTTGATCATTAGAATGTTCTTGAGAATCTTCAGATTGTTGGATGATGGACAAATTTTCTGGTACATATTTAGCATTGTCATCTGTTGTTTGAATTGTATATGAATTATCAATAAGTAGATTTGAAGACTGGTTGTCCTCATAATTTGGTGGCTGAGACAATGTCTCTGCTGAAGTTGTTTCAGGCAGGTTGTCCTTGAAATCTGCTTGCTGATCTATGTTTGTTTGATCATCAGACAAGTTGGCTGAAGTGGTTTCAGGCAGGTTCTCCTTGTAATCACTTACCTCTTGATTAGAGTCCTGACCTGGGTGTGAAGAAGAGGGATCATCAATATTTTCACAAATAGGCAAATTCTGAGAAGATGCTATTTGCTCATCAACTGAGTCAACCTCTTCTACACCTCCCTCCCCACTATCTGGCCACTTGTTTGATTTTTTTTTACTTATAGAGCTATCAGATGCTTCTGAAATATTTCGTTGCCTGCAAAGTTTCAGCTTTTGTATTTCTCCAGGTGATGCATCAGCTCTTGCTACTTTCCACACTGATCCACTATCCTCTTCATCTCCGCCAAGAACAGATTTGATAAGGTCACTGGATGAAACAGGCTTTTCCTGCTGTTCTTCAGTATCTTTGACTTGTTTGTCAACAGCAGATTCCCTATTATCCTCAGAGCATGGTGTATTTGAAGTGTTGTCTTCTGGATTTTCTCGTTCAGGTGAAGGTGATGGCGATGGTTTACCTCTTCGACGAGTTGTTCTCCTCGTTGGCTTCTCTACCTTTTTTTCTGGAGAACCTTTAGCCTTGTTTCTTTCACTTTTACGTCGCATGTCTAAAAAAAGCAAGGTTTTATTTACGATTTTCAACAAATTTCACAAGTTCATAAATTACAATTTTGAAATGTTATCATATTTATTTATCGTCACATACTAGGTTAAAAATTAATCTTATAATCGTTGCTTAGCAACTTTGTTAGTAATAATTAATGATTAATTAAAAGTTAGCAATAATGATCAAAATTAAGCAAAACAGGTTAATTTTTTTGATAGGTTAGTGGAATTATGTTCAAATACGATTTGCATGGATAGCTTGGCGTTACTGCGGCGACGATTACGGCATGCACTATCTCAAACTCAACAACAAGATAAGGAAAGTTGAAACTCTTTTATCTTACTTGTAAATGTAATCTGTCGATGAATAAGAGATCGATTGCTGTGCGGTACTCCGACTATCTTGATAGTTCTTGCTTATTTCATAAAAAAGGATGCAATCGAGGAGCATCCGATATATTGGCATATATGCGTATGTACGTGTATAGCGACGCTATTTGCCGGAGCCAGTGAGCTCGAAACCACACCAAATACACGGCCTTAATTAATCATTGAAACATTAGATCAAGTAGAGCGTTTGAGCACCGTATATAGTTGCGAAACGCGCAATGAACGAGCTGTGGCGCCACGTCGTGGTAAAATCTAGCAACCTGATTACTTCCCAGTTTAACCTGAAACAAGAATTGGTTCACATAAATCGCTGTCTGGAATGAATAGTTTTTTCAAAAATAATAAATAATTATTATCTTTCGATTTTATTTAATTATATTGGAATGAACTTGATTATTGGATTGTTGAAAAAGTCACCAGAGCTATTTCATTACCAATTAAAACACTTGAAAACAGTTGCAGGACAAACACCTGCAGAGTACTGTTTGAATTTAGTAAGGTAAATGCTTATTTATATTGAATAAACATGAGAAAATTTAATGAAAGGTTTATATTGATGCAGAAAAAATGATTATGAAAACTTTTTATGCACCTTATTACTACCCAATAACCTGAGATCTTCAGCATTTGCGATAAGAGCTTTTAATACAGAAATTGCTTTAGTTGAAGATCAAGTAAGTGATAATAGAATTGGTCTGATGAGAATAAAATTCTGGGAGGAAGCATTGAATGACATATATAATGATCGACCACCAAATAATCCAACATCACTAGAATTGCATAGAGTAAGTTGAAAATTTGATAAGTATGTGAATATTCTTTTATAATTTTTAATAAATAAATTTAATTTACAACAGATACTGAAAAAAAATAAATTATCAAAATATTACTTTGAACGTTTAATAAACGCTCGTTTCAATCAACTCAACACATCAATCTTTATGAATTTAAACTCACTAGAGAAATATGCTGAGGATACACTGTCTTGTACTTATTATCTTATATTAGAAGCACAAGGCACTAAAGATATTCATACTGATCATTTTGCTAGTCACCTAGGAAAAGCTCATGGTATTGTCAACTTAATACGTTCAATACCTCATAATGCAAAAAGAAAAAGTATAGTTTTACCACAGGATATACTCATGAAACATAAAGTTTCATTTGAATCGATTATCCAAGGAAAAAGTAGTAAAGAACTTTCAGATGTGATTTTTGAAGTTTCATCAAGAGCTAAGCAACATTTAGATAAGGTTTGTCACAGTATAACATTAAACTTTTTTAATACTAAATTAATTTTTTATTATTGTAGGCTCTATTAATGAACAGTAAAATTAAAGAAGAGTCTAAAATTATTTTCCTGCCATCAATAATAATTAGTAATTATTTAAATGAATTACAACTTGCAGATTTCGATATTTTTCGCGTTGCATTACGAAAACAAACATCTCTTCTCCCATTAAAATTATATTGGAATAAATTATTTTTGTAAATAAATCACATAGGTTTTAAGAAGTAAAGGCTACTAACTACACAATTTACCTTGTTCGTGTTCAAAATACACTGTAGCGAAATTTCAACATAACCTATTTAGCAGTTCTATAGAAATGAGCATGTATGCACACCACAAAGAATATATTAACTATTAATTAATCCATGAAGTTCTATTAATTAAGTGTTACAAATAATTTATAGTGACAATGTAAAGAAAATTTTACAAAAGTAAAATTACAGGCTACACATTGAAAGTACGAAGAATTTTCATCCTCTATAACGACTTTGGCGTCATGGCTATGGCGAAAATTAGTTTATACAATTCGACAGTTTGTCGATTATGTGCCGAAGAAAATAACAACGGTGAAATATTATTTACCGATGATTCCGAAGAAACAGATCTGAGTGTGATGATCAATCGTTATCTGCCGTTGAAGGTACTATTACGCGCGTCAAATTCTCCAAACACGTATACCACAGTTTAGACTTGAGCTTGACTCCTTTACAATTGCAATATGGAGGCTTCATTGGATTCAATACTGCTCAAATCAAATCATCTTCAAGATTTATTTTGTTTTTCTTTTTTCTGCGAAATATTTTATTTTGATGACAACAAAGAATCGCAATTAATCATTAACAATGGATTCACAGCCTTTTAGCTTGATATATGTCATTTTTATATTTTGATGTTTGAAATGTAAAAGCATCATTGATTAAATTTATTTTGTTAAACTTGATGGAAGTCCTTTTAATTATTTTTAGGTCTACAATGATGGCAAACTACCCCGTACCATATGTCCTGGTTGTAATATACAATTGGAAGCAACTGTGCAATTTTTTCAGTTGCTTGTTAATGGTCAAAATAAAATACGAGAAATGTGGAATGAACAAGTTGAATTTGATAAAAAGTGCAAAAGAGAACAATTCAAATATAAAAATATTAATATTAATTTAGCCACTGAGTTGACTAATGAAGAAGAAGAAGAAGATGATACAACTATTCAATCAAATGAACATGAAATTTTCATTAATGTAATTCCTGATGGTTCTGTATATGCCGCTGATCATGATTTGAGCTTACAAATGGAAGGTTTGGATAGACCAAAAAAAAAAAGAGGACGCCCTCCAAAAGAATTATTGGATGAAGATTTTCAAGTAAAGTATTTTTTTGACCAAGATAGGTTATCTCTTTATTAATATTTATTAATTTGCTTAGGAAATTAACAAAAGTGACTATGCTGAAGATATGAGCCAGGATGATGAAGAAAAACACGATGAAGAATATGAAGTTGATGGGAGAAGAAGAAGAAAACGTAAAGTACCCAAGAGGTAATTAAACAAATTAATTTAAAAAAGTGTCAAGTTTATTAATAAATTTATTATACAGATACATGGAAAGCTTACAAGGTAAAGAATTGGATAAAATCTTTAAAGAAGAAGGTGTATATGATGATGATTATGATGGAGCATCAATGAAACATGAAGTCGATGAAGTAGACTTGAATATTGCAACTTTAGACAGTAACAGTGATACAGGTTTACAAATTTTTATTTATAAAATTCAAATGTAGTTTGGATCATGAAAGATTTTTTCACATTTTTTAGAAATTATTGGTCATTTGGAAACTATTGAAGGTCAACATTTGAATGAATTAGTTGTTATCAATAAAAATAAGTGCCGTCAAAAATCAAAATTATTAAAATCAAAAGCAAAAAGAAAACATAAATTTATTTGCTTATATTGTGGAAAGGGATTTTTACAACGTAGCAAATACATCATTCATAAAAGTCTTCACAATAAAATCATAAAATATAAGTGTATCCAATGTGAAAGTCTATTTTTAAATGCAGAAGAATTAAGAGTTCATCAAAAAACAGAGTGTCATTCTGGAGAGAAAATAATTGAATGTAATGACGAAGAAATTGCTTTAGTTGTCAGTTCTAATGGAAATTTCAATGTTAAATCAAATGATGCTGATGACATGATGGAAATTTCTGCTAATATTTCACATCCCACACCCGATATTGCTTTTGTAAATTCTGAAAGTCATGATCAATTAAAAGATGATATCAATAATATGGAAAGTATAACTGAAGAAGAAACAACTCAAGATCTAGAATGTAGAGATAATGATAGTTCTCACAAGTGTGAAAAATGTAACAAACATTTTCAATCAAAAGATAGTTTTGAAAGCCATGTAAAAGTAGTGCATCATGGACAAAAACCTTTTGTATGTGAGATATGTCACAAAGCATTTGCTTATGACTCAAGTCTGAAAGGTCACAAGGAACTCGTTCATTCAGTAAGATTATTTTATTTATTTCTAATTTAATGGTTGAATATTATGATGTCTTAAAACGATCTGTTTTTCTAGGTCAGTAAAACTGATAAAGGATTTCCATGCGACGTATGTGGAAAAGTCTTGAACCACTCAAGCTCTGTTATGTACCACAAAATAACTGAACATAATGGCCGTCGTTTCGTTTGCAATAAATGTGGAAAAAGCTTCAAACATAAGCAGCTTTTACAACGACACCAACTTGTACATTCGGAAGATAGACCTTACCCATGTAAATCGTGCAATGCTTCATTTAAAACAAAAGCTAATTTATTGAACCATCAATCAACACATACTGGTGAAAGAAAACATGCATGTGAATTGTGTAATCAAAAATTTGCCCATAAAACCAGTCTAACTTTACATTACAGGTGATTTTACACATTTATTTAATTTAATAAAAAATTATTTAAAAAGAATATTATAAAAATGAATAGTGTTCATTTGATTTTCAGAACACATACTGGACAAAAACCATACAAATGCGATGTCTGCTCTAAATGTTTTTCTCAGAATGGCAATTTACAAGAACATATGCGAATTCACACAGGTGAAAAGCCATACTGCTGTGATCATTGCGGTCGTAAATTTACAACATCTTCACAATTTAAGTTACACGTTAAACGTCATACCGGTGAACGCCCGTGGAAATGTGATAAATGTACAAAATCATTTTTACACAAAGACACTTGGAAATGTCACGTTCGCAGACATAATGGAGAGCGACCTTTTGTTTGTAACCACTGCAATAGAGGTTTTACTGAACAATGGGCTCTGAAAAAACATTTACGATTTCACACAGGTACTTAAATGTATATTCACTATAAATGCATTTTACCATTTTCAATTTTTTCTGTTTTAATAGGAGAGAAGCCATATAGCTGTGAAGTTTGTGGAAAAGCTTTTGCCGATTGTTCTAATTTAACCAAGCATAAGAAGGTATGCCAACATCTTTGTTAATCATGTTGAAATTGTAGCAGTTTTTTAATTTTAATACTACAGGTGCACAAAAAAATATCAGAATCTGAAGAATTTCTGTCTGAAGGAATGTGGCAAATTTTACCAAGCGTGACGGAATCAAACGCAAATACACTTGAAAATATAACTCAAGTTATAACAACAGACGAAGTTTCGGAAGACGGTATGCCACAAATTGTATACGTGGCCTACGAAGATGTCGAAAATTCGAATGAACCAACTTTGCAATTTGGTACGAAACAAAACATAATTTTTATCGACGTTTAAATATTGATTTAATATTTACATCTTGTCATACAGATAAAGATAACACTTTGGCTAGTAGACATGAGTCAAACTTAAACAGTAATTTAGAGGAAGAAGATCAAATTCAAGCAGATTCTAATTTGCAGCTGCAAGTATGTGTATTTAGTAATTTTTCTTACATGATGTTTGTAAATTTTTTTTTTTTTCGAGACTCCATGAGTGGAGACTTTACATACCTTCGAAAACGGAGAAAATCTCGTTTCACACGTATTGAAAAAAAACAAAACTAGATGCATGCGCGAGAAAGTGTTTTCAGCCTCATGTGGCCTCTTCACTATCGCTTCACTTAGGCGCAAACGTCGACAGGACGCTGAAAATACTTTCTTACGCTAGTTTAGAAATATACTATTACATTTTTATTGCTGTAGATAACAGATGAAGATGGCAATGCAATACCATTATCAATGCAAGCAGCGCAGCATTTCTTTTCTGGAGGACAGTTTTTCAGTCAATTAAATGGAGGTCAAACTATAAGAATCCAAAGTATGGTAACTCTATCAGACGTTGATGAAATTGCAGAAAGTAATGAAAAAGAAAATAATATATCGGAAATATCTACTGTTTCTACAATTCAGACTGATGCTGAAGCTATTGTTAAAGTTTTAGAGGTACAGATTTCGACGGTAAAAATTATTAACTTCATTTATAACGATATAATATTTCTAGGATGAAGATCCCGATACATCTTCTGTGGCCAATATTAATGAGATCGACTCAAACGAAAGACTGGAACTATCTGATGGTCAACAAACCATAGAATTCATTACGCAAGATGGCCAGAAAGTGAGACTGCTTACTGCTATGAGTATAGATTCATCGCATGTAACACCAGAGTACCTAACTATTTAATCAAATGGCTCATTTAGTTCGAGTTGAAAATAAGAATTGTTCCGATTGTTATAAAGTTCCTTATAGTGCTAAGCTATAATTAGGCATCAAATAATTTATATTAATAATTTTTTCGAATTATTAGAAATATGCTTATTACTCATCGATAGTATGCGTGAAAATGACAATTTATGTAAATATATACTATGTAAATACACCTTAAAAATTTATTTGATTTGTGAAGAAATATCATACAAACTCTCAGATTGATATTATTTAACTGAAATAATGATTTAAAAACAATTATACTGTCAAAATTTAATTTTTATTATATTCCTCGTACACAATATGATAAAAATGGTATAATAATATATTCATAATGTGAACTGAGTTTATGAATATTTTATCAGACAGTAAAACAAATAATATACATAGATGCAATCTAGAAACCGAAACATTTAAGATATTAGCATACAATTATAGATGATACAAAAAATTTTTAGACTTCATTGATGTTGTCAATGAAGTATTTTTGTGGTTAAAACATAATAAAATTATTTGTATAAAAACATGTAAGACGATCTCGTCATTGTTTTAATTTTTTTTAAGGCTCTGCTATACATTTTTATAGATGTACTGAATTTTGTAATAGTTTCATTTGCTTATGATTTGTCTAAATTGTATAAGGTGAGTCTGAAAAAAAATACTATCGATAAATGTTCTTACTTAACGTTCGCTATAAATGCAAGAAAGAATGACGCTTACGATGTTAAGTCTGATACAATGAATTTATAATTTTTACTTATTTGATATGGGTAGATTTATACTGGATTACGTTGAAAAATGTACATAGTATTTAAAAAAATCTTTCAAATTACTAAATCTATTTTTTAGTTTAAAAAGACTTGATACAAACTTATTATTGCAAATTCTAAACTACCTCATACTTAACTTGAGCCAGTCAATGTCACATTCTGAGTATAATCATATTCAATAGTTGGAATAACAGATTGTACAAATTTTAAAAATATTATTAGATACATATGAACTCCCAATTCCCTGCCACCTTCCATAACAGTTGCTATTATCTTTTTCATGACTTCAGCATGTCTGAAAATTGAAGTAATAATTGATAGTTGAATTTTTTTTTTACACAATTTAAATAACCCTTACCTGCAGGGATGAACAGATGCCATTGGTGGTCCTGGCATATGAGGATGTGTTTCCATGGTAACTGTTTTCTTAGCATGGTCCTGACTAACATCTTCATACATCTCTTCTACAGTTAGAGGTTTACGATTCTAAAATGAAAATGTAAAATATTTATGCTGATATTAAAATTATAAAATTTTAAGATTAGTACAAATTTACTTCATCGTATCCAAAAATCCATAATCTTGGAGTTTGATAATATTTATCATAAGTAATATGTAGATCATATGTACGGGTTCTTATAATTTCACCATCTGCACTTGCTTCTTGATTTTCTTTGGTAACCTTCTTTGTTGTTTCTGCAGTATACTATAAATAATTTTTATTAAATTGTATTATGGAATATCAATTTGTTTCAATGAATAAGTTATCAACATAAGCTCTTACTTCATCTTGTTCATCAAGCATTCCACTGACTTCGAAGGCTTCCATGTCAGCTGCTTCTTCATCGTCATCATCATCTTCTATGTCTCCAGCGATATTTGTGGAAGAGTTTGGTTTAGCCTCATCCAAAGTCATTTCAGAAACTTTTTCTTCTACACTTCCAACACTAATGCCATAATGATGCGTGTCAACCCAACCACCCTCTGGATCATCTGCTTCTATAATTCTTTCTTGTTCATCACAATATTCAATCTATAAAATAAAATATAAATTAAAACATAATAATTGAAGATTACAACAAAAATTTAACCAAAATGTATTACTTGTTTACATCTTCTAGTACAAGGAACATTACGAGTAAGTAGGAATTGTTTATCTTTTGGCAAATATGGTTTTATTCTATCCACATCTCCAATAGCCCATTGCCAAGTTGGACAATGATGTACTAAATGCTCTCCAGCAGCCACAAATTCTTCAGGTGTTAAAACTCCGGTTTCTCGAAATTTACTTTCCTAAAGGAATTATCAAAACTTATTAATGTCTTTCTTTAGAAATAGATATAATTTATAGTGTTTAATAAATGACTGAAACAATTTTTTGTCAAAATAAATAACAACTAAATTATTAAACCTTTAAAACTGGAGTTAAATATTCTGCAACACTGAGGGCTGTGCCCTTGACGGAATTAATTACACTTTGCATTATTATAAATAAATGTTATATCAACGAGTATTGTGAGTCACTTCATACAAATAAACTTTTTCTTTATTTTATGAAAATGTTATTCCACTGTTGTAGGAAAAGAAAATGTTTCATTCGCGTACATCGACGCACCTGCAAAATTATTAACAAACGTGTACACAGTTCAGATAAACTTTGATGTAGTTTGAAGTGTATATATATATATATGGATATATATATATATATATCCATAAAATGTACATAAACTTCTAGGTTGGAAGTGAAGTGCTATCTATATATGCTATAGCTTAGGGCTATATGCTATAGCTTTATAAATTTACTTTTACTTTACTATAGATGGCGAAAGTTAGATCTCAAAAGTTAGCACTCAAATTCAATTTTTTGAGATATTGTATTATGCAAATTAATTAGAACATTAGGTAGCTCATTTCAATAACAACTTTTGTAAATGACACTCCTTAGTTTGTCTACAAGTTATTCCCTGAAAACAATAAAATAAATTTTTGGTACTTGATGCCAGTATTTAAATTTGAATTTAAAGGAGAAATAAATGTTATGAAAAGTTGTATAAGGAAATTAATCGTTAATTTATCTCATCAACTAATGGAATTTAGAATAAAATCGAAGATAAATCTATTATTTCCGTAAATAAAAATAAATAATTGTTTTATCGTATGTTAAAGGCTTGCGCGGTCTCTATTAGGCCATATGTGGCGAGGGCCTTAGCACACTAGTTCAAGGGGGGGACGCATGCGTATGCCAGCCCATTCGTCGCCCTTAGGCCCCGGTCCTATAGGTATACGTACGGATCCGGACGGATACGGACGCGAATCGCAACTCTAGTAACATCACTAAAAATATCTAGTTCGATTATTTAGTATCAACACTACCGGTAGTGAGTAAAAGTGACTGTTGTTTAAAACTGTAGCGTCGAACGTACCACATTTAATGTTCAAATGTCAGATCTACAATTTACTTTTCAAATTTTCATGAATATTGCTTATTGATGAGTATGCTAATGTAAAACAAGTTTTTGGGATAATTAATACATATCATTTATATATATTTTCTTCTTCTTTTCATATATTCAAGTACTTCCATAAAATTAAGGCCTAATTCCACTAATTGTAGTTGAAAGTCTAGCAATTCTCTATCATTTGCCATCTTATAGACTGCAATAATGTAAAGGTTAGATAGGCGATCATTAAATGTGTACGTTCGGCGCTACAGTTTTAAACAACAGTCACTTTTGCTCACGACCGTTAGTGTTGGTACTAAATAATCGAACTACATACATATGTATTTTTAGTGATGTTACTAGAATTGTGATTCGCGTCCGTATCCGTCCGCATCTGTACGTACCTATATGGGACCGGGGCCTTATGTAACGTAAAGACAAACGAAAATGTTGTAATTGTTAAAAATTACTGTTTACGAATTACTTAATTGTTAAAGCTATTTTATTAATAACATATTTAAATAATATTTAAATAATATATCCTCAACATATCGTATTTTTGTTCAATTTCTTTAATATAAAATTATGGATGTTTTTAAATTTATTATTCTTTTATGAATTCATTATGTAACTATTCATTGAATTTAATAATGCACGTTATGATAATGGGCTTTTCTCTGAGTAATCTTAATTATATACGGTCGCTTCGGTCGCTATGGCTGGTCGCTTACAAAACTCGTAAAAAAGTCTAATTTTACAACATGAATGTTTTATTGAATAATTATAAAGTATTATGCTCAATAATGTTTTAAGCATAAATAAATAGGATAAATATTGTATAAATTAATGTATTACGTACAATAAACCTACAGTTGGTTAACTATAAAAAAAATTAGTGGAAGAGCTTAATTTAACTTAGATAATAATGTTCAAATTTGTGAAAACAGATTGGTATAAGAATTGATTAACAAATTTTCTGATATAATTCAAAATATACGATATACGCAAACGCTATATTATATATATATATATTAAATAAGAAAATTAAAGATGTTACAACCGAATGAAATTATTCAAGGATGATTAATTTTTTTTTCTTTTTAAGAGTAATAATATTGATTATCAACACAACTATAATAAAGAATTACTATCTTTGAATAAAATTTAACTTCATAAATTTAAGATTATTAGTTGCTTAAACAGATTGGAAACAATTGGAAAAGTTTATTTTAGAAGTATCTAATATTGATTCACATGTATAGAAAATGATCACAAAAGCTGAACATATTTTTGATCATTATGATAAAAAATTCACAAAGTTATTGTCAGTTTTTTGTAATATAAAAAAAGTTTTCAAATTTTGGAAAGTAATGAAATCTATCTAAAAATGGCACGATTACTGATATGTACTTTTATATACTTTATATAACTTATTGAATAGTAAATGTCCTCTACAAATAATCAAACGGACAGTCATTACATTTATAAATAACTATTTGTATCGAATTGACTTAAATACTGTTTTAAACATTTTGAAAGTACGATAATTATAACAATTACAATGTTGGAATACGTGGAGTTTCGGAAGTAATAAAACAGGTTTTTTTATTTTTATTTATTTAAATAACAGATTTATTTTTTATTTTATTCATGAGATTAACTAACGATTAACTTGTTTATAATATTTTAAATTTTTTTTTACAATCGTTCTGCCAGATTCAAATTTGAGTAGTGCACCTTGCATTTATAGCTTCTTTTGTTTTTTGGTTTTTAAGGGATTACTTGTACTAATTAACTGACTTATAGTAACAAATGATACTCAATAAAATTGTTGCAATTAAAATAAACTAATCAATGTTTGAATTATTTTATACAGTATCTCGAGAAAACTAAATTTGAATGGTATCTTACGACTGTCTAGAGTTCAAATTTTAAATTACAGGTGAGCGCAGATAAAGCGTGAATTCAACTTCGTTTAATAATTAAAATCGTTAAAAGCGCTTTATTAATGCTTGCGAGATTTATTAGTTTACAGTGTTTCTGATGTGTGTATATATAGTGGATGTTTGTGTGTATACATATATATATATATATATACATCGGAATTAATTATTTAATACATTTATTTCAGAAAGTATTTTAAACAAGTAAATCATATTTTTATTTATTAAATCGTTTTCCAACCAAGTTTTGAAATTTCACTTCAAATTTGGACTTGTGCAGGAATTACATGTGCATAATTGCTGAATTCGAGAAATTGGGATTGTGTTAATTCATATTGTTTCTAAATTTTTAAATAAAAAGGATAGAAAAAAAATTGACTTTTTATAATTAACTTGACTCTTTTAAGGAAAAAAATGATCTTAATCAAATTATAAAATTGTTTATAATGCTAATCACATAGTTTAATCTTTTTTGATGGAATATTTGATAAATCTACATCATCATCCACTTTTTCAGTACGATGTATTTTAAAAAATGACTTTCCACTCCGTCTACCTTCTGAAAAATGACAGAAAAAATGTCATCACAAGTTTATACAAAAATTAATTTCATGCTTACCTCCTTTCAAAAGAGCTGATATAGTATTAGATCCTAGAGCATTTTTTGCATTTGTTTCATTCAATCCTAAAAGTCTAGCTCTAGTTATGATAAGTTCAGGACATTAATCTTGATGTTCAAAATTTATGTTAAATATTTGATAATTTATGTTAATTGTTTGATAAAGGATACAAATTGATAATGTCATATGGATTTCGTATCAAAGAGTCACTGTTGGCTCCACTTGATAATACTACATTCTTAAAATAAAATATGTCTATAAGATATGAAATTAATGAAACTTTAATAACATTTGCTATCATTACCTTACTTTTACCAAAAGTATAAAATAGATGAGAGTAATGAATAGCCAATTTTCTTGTAGATAAATTAATGACATCAGAGTATTGAATTTCAAAATGGATTCCTCGTTCCACTGCTTGTAAATATAATTTTCTACTCAACTTCAACCCTTTACATGTTGAATTTATGAATATTACATCTACATTCAGTTGGGCACAAGCAAACTGAAAAGAAAATAATTAGTACAATAATAACTATTCATCATTATAAGTAACGTACTTGAAATGCATTTTGTGTCTTTGGTATAACAGCATACAAATCGTAATTTTTCATCATTGCTAGTTGATTCTGAAATTTTTAATTTGGTAAAATGATAGATTTAAATCAATATTCAACAAAAGTCAATAACATACAATAGAATGGGTTTTCAGAGGATCTGAGAAAGTGAAAGTTATTCTATTAAATATATTTAATTTTCCTGTGAATTCCATTTCTAAATCTTGTATATTGAATGGTTTTGGTATACAGTATGGACAAGTATTAACTGTTCCAGCTTTTTTTTTCTTCTTCTTTTCATTTTCAAACACTGATTCATCCACATTTTGATTTATTACCACATTCCTGTAGCCAACTATTAAAATATGTATTGTAAATATAAAAATTCAAGTTTTTTAAAATTGATATAATTGCTATACACATAAATATACCTTTATGAAGTTTAAACAATATTTCTTGTAACTCACTCTTATTTTCTGGTAAATTAATACACAAATCACTAAATCCAAATTGCATTTTCATAGATTAAAAACATAACCTACAAAAATTAATTTTCAATAGAAATAGAATTACATAGTAAATAATGTACTGTATCGTTCTTTTATTTTCCTATTGTATATTTAACGATCATGCTTATATTCACAATAAGTAATCAACTATCATAATTGATTATTGATACGCTTTTTCAATATTATTCCAGCTACACTGTACATTTAGCCTGTCAAGTGTGCTAACTTAAATGTGCCGACTTTATTTAAAAATACTTAAGATTCAATCAATTTAATAAATTTAATATAGCTTGAAGAATTTCATTCAATAAATATTTATTATTAAATGCAGGTTGTATACATATAAATTCATTTACTATTGGCATTTAATCTATTACTGTATTTTAATAATTAATAAATTTATTTATCGTGCAACTACGCAAACGTAATATAACAAAATTATTTCAAAAATATTTATTTCTGAACCTCTAGGATATAAAACGTGTAAACCATAGTAAGAAAATTAATAATAAAAAATTACCATTTTACATACATTGATATTATAAATAAGTTTCATTTCTATAAAAATTTTGACATGAAAAACGTAACAAAAAAATTTGTTCATTTAAAAAACGAAAAAATAATGTTCCATTTTTAGGCCTATTTATGAATTAAACATATATTGATGTATTTTTTGAAGAAAGTTATTTATATACACAATTTATAATTCTTAATACTACAAATAATATTAACAGTGTAATAATTTTTCATTATAATTTTAGTAATGATGATTAAGCACGCCTTCATAATGGCTTTAAAATATTTGTAAATACATTTGATAACGATCATACAAATGTTTTCTATATTACTTTTCAATTTATTCAAGAGCTTTATATTTTTTGTGTATAATCCAAGATTTTTCGCATATATTCGCAACTGCATTTACTTTGCAACCATTTTTACAAAATGTAATGTTTGTGAAAAATTAATTTTTCACCAGACAAACGAACATACTTCAGTTTATTCCCGCTGTTTATATTCTAAATGTAGTATACAGAGGAATGAATCAGCTTTTTGACAACATGATTAGAGAATTAACGACGCTGGATAGGAATTAAAATTAAGATTAATAGTTAAGAAAAAAAAATAATTTCATTTTGGTGAACTTATCTTGGTAAGCTGTTTGTATCAAATGCACTGATCTAAAAAAATTATGAATTTTAGATAAGAATGAAAAAGTTCAGAAGCACTTAAAAAGTTGATTATAAGTCTTAATTATTATTTGAAAATTATACTACTTATAAAAGAAATTGCTCTGAATTCACTTTGAATATGCAGTAATGATTTGAACAATTTGTTAATATATGTTAGATAACAATACAAGTTATATATACATACATAGAAGTATGTATTTTTTAGTATTTGCCAATTGAAAAAAATTATTTGGAATCATCACACTGCCCTTATGTAAATACTTTTTATCAAACATCTGGACAGAACAAAGTTTTTTTTTGTTTAGTTTTAAACCGTAATATGCATCATTAATGTTAATGCATAATATGGCTCTATATACAATTGAAAGTTTAACAGGAGCAAGAGTCTTTGCCACCTTGTTGCACATTCAATACTCCTTGCAAATTAGTACGACCAGGCTGACTAGGATTGTGCTGTACTCCCGATTCTGCAGCATTCAAATCCAAACTGAAACAAATAAATTCAAATGATGAACATGTTCTGACCTAGCACTTGTTTAATTTTTAATAAAGAATATTTACCGTCCATCTTGTATACTTTGGAAAATTTTCTTTGCAGTCTCTAAAAAAGCTTCTTCTACATTATCTCCTCTGAAATTAATAATAACGATTTGTAATTGATTTAGCTAAGATAATTGAGGAATATTGTATAAAAGACATACGTTTTAGCACTAGCTTCTACAAACGTGAGTCCATTTTCATCTGCAAATTGTTTTGCTTCTTCATAAGTAACATCTCTCTGTCCATCTAAATCACTTTTATTTCCAATCAAAAATATCACCTAAATAAAAAATTAATATTGGTTGTATAAAAATAAAAAATTTGCAATGAATGCATTATTATTAAAGAACATACAGTGCTTGGATTTGTGAGATTTCTAGTGTCGGTTAACCAACTACTAAGATGATTGTAAGTAGAGCGTCGAGTGATATCATAAACCATTAGAGCTCCAGCAGCTCCACGATAATATGACCTATAAATTAAAAACATTTTTCAAGTATGTCACATAACCCAATAACAAAAAATGTGCTTTTAATTATTTTTATTAAAAATAATGGAATTACCTTGTAACTGCTCTAAATCGCTCTTGTCCTGCAGTATCCCAAATCTGAAGTTTGATTTTTTGTCCCGCTACCTCAATTATTCTAGTTCCAAACTCTACACCAATAGTATGAGGACAATCTGCCATAACTGGAAGTAATTTTTCATGAACAAAATTCAGCAAAAAAATGGTTTATAAGATGAACTAATTTTATGAACAAATTCTTACACTTTTTTTCTGTAAATTGATGTAGTAAACATGATTTTCCTACTCCCATGTCTCCTATAATGATGTATTTGAAAATGTAAGAGTAGTTGTATGGACCAGCTGACATTTTGCTCCTGTAATTATCAATTTAAAAATGTTTATTGTTAGTAAATCATAATAACCAAATTGTAAAGTATTCTTTAAAATAAAGTATATTATTTTAACATTTCTTAGCAACTTGTTAGTATATATGTATATCCTTTTGAATTGTATAATATCCATAAATACATAGCAAATGTTATAAGTTAATAAGATTTAGGTTAAATAGTGAGCATAATTACAACGACAATATAAGGTGGATATGTAAACTGAACATAATGAGAAAATGAAAAAAGTAATAAGAGATTGGACTAGTAAGTATAAGGATAAAAAGTAGATACCTTTGCTGACAACTTGTTTGAACAATAAGCAAAGTAGTAATCAATAATCAAGTACAATTAATCAAACATCTATATTGTAAGCTGTCGCCGTGGCCGACATTGTCTGCGTTTCCGTGCGAAGTAAAGCGTAGGTAGAACTCACCTGTTCTGCTGCAAGTCAGTCGTAAAGAGAAAAAGCTGGTCGTAGAATGCGTGTGTTTATATGTAGATGTGAACAACAAACACGGTTAATGTTTATCAGACGAGAAACGGGAGGCGGTGGTGTGTCGCCCAGGGAGCCTTTTAACGTGTAACGAAAGACCAGCTGGGAAAACAATACAACACTGAACCTCGCGATTTAATCGCTGATCAACGGACCAGTTAGCACTCGTCGATCATGCAAAATACAGTAGATCCTTCTCCTTCTTTCTTATTCGCTATAATCAACGTTCACTCAACTTAAGAAATGATTTTACCAGCTCGTCAACTCAGTTCTTTTACTTTGCGCTTTCCTTTTTTCTTTACTTCCCGCAAGTGCTTTGTAGTACGTGCATGAATGTGGGCATGATACTACGGTTCGAACAAAGATAGAACGAGCAAAAATAGGAGAGAGAAGGCGGTCTGAGAAAGACAGACAGAGATAGCTAGATAAGTATAAGGTGTGCTAATGTCCATCATGGCGCAAGCTGGATCTGGTAGACGTCAAACCACCTGTCAACTATCCTAATAAAACCTTATATTTGAAATTACCGTGACGCAAAATTATTCAAAACTTCTGCAGAGTTGATAATTTATATTCCAACGTAATAACATAAAAATGTTAACGCATAGAAACATTAATTTGTCGAGAGAAAATGTATCCTGCCAAGCATATATGTCTATCTTTTAGCTGAATGCTCCAGTTTCATCGCGGGAAATACAAAAGTGCTTATATTACAATACGCACTTTTAGCCATAAATTTACATTCAAATCAAATATGTCAAGGTTTGTCAATTAAATTTTATATGTAACCTTGATGGATCACCTATTTCTCTAATAAATCGCAAATATTCAATTCACCTAAGTAATTCAAGGAAATTTGAGAATTGTCTAAACGTACCGTCTGGTTGGCTCATACCCAGCCTATAAGAAATAGATGTTGTACTGACCAATTGATTTGGATTGGTTGGCAATTTCTATTGCATTAATGAACCATAATGTGCAAAGAAGTAAAAACTATACAAAATCTCATTTAATATAATATGATATCCAAGAAATATATTAGAATTTTTATTATCGCAGTTTAATGAACAAAATTTCATTCAGTCTAACACTCTCTGACAAATCAATAAAATCGACGATAAAATAGTATAATTATTACACTTACAAGCGTGCAACTAAATCACTTTAATAATTAATCTCATTGCGAATAACAAATGCAATTTATATTGTATTCTCACACTTAAGTAAAGACAGCGGTGCGCCGTCTCCTTTCAACTGTATAATTTTTTTACATTTTCTGTTCTGCAGTTCTGCATAATTTTTACAGGAGAGTGAAGTTGTAAATACCGCCACTAGTGGCAGGTCGACTTAGTCCCTCGAGCTCTCAGTCTCTCACGCTCTCATCGCAACTTTTCGAATGCGGCGAATACCCTCTAGCAGCACAACAGCGCACAGACATATTTAACGGGGCGAAGGGCGAACGTCATTTCCGTTTATCGTTCGGGGGACGCACAATGGAAGGAAACGAGTCGGCCGAGTGCGGATCGGCACTTTGGAATTAGTTTGGTGAAGCTGTCATCGGCCGAGGATGCCTATAGCGGCTTGTGCTGCTTGGGTACGCCATAGAAGTGGACAAGTTTTTTCGGTATAGTTCGCCGTCTGCCGAACGTAACCGACTGGCGACTCTTGAGCGACCACGACAGTTAAGCGGCGACCAGTGTAGTGTCAAGTGTGTATACTTTAGTGATCCTAGTGCAGGCGATTACCAGGATATCCTGCAGGACGTTTCGACAGCTGACTCGGGAGCATCGTATCCGAAGGTAAACGACGGTCATAGTCTATTTCCAAGTGAAGCCTTGTTATGTGCTCGTGCAAATGTGTGTATTGAAGCGCGTGCCTTGCCTTGGCTTTACGTACGCCGTGCGTTGCGTTTGTGGTACGTTTGCCTGTGTGTGCGTGCGTTTGTGTGTATGATGCTGCCGCCGCCGCTGGCTGTGTGTGCGTGCGTTCGTACGCGCTCGCGTGTTTGTGTGGTGTGTGTGCGCCTGTATATGTATGCGTTTACAGGCTAGCGGTTGGTTGCGAGTCGCGCGAGAAAGTATTTTTACAGTGCCTGAACGCAAAATCGCGAAAAAAAGGACGACTCGTAGTCTAAACAAAAATTTAAGTTGGTGTTGCTGAGAAGAGTAGCGCGAATAAAATTAGAGGATTCGGGAATCCCGGTGAGCGCCGGTAGAGCCGCTCTCCCTCTCTAGGACGTGATCGATAAATTTTGGAGGTTCCTCTCCAACTTTCAGTGTACTTGTACACACTACCTTTACGTATGAGTATCATCACAACTATTTTCTTAGTTTCGTTGCTCTGAAAAGCGAGCAGCGGTCTGGGCAAGTGAGTGCGCGCACGTATACGTGTATGTGAGCGCGAGAGTGTGTTTGTGTCAACGTAACCTGCGAATACGAGAGCAGCAGCAACGCCGCCTCTCCTCGCTAATTAACCAAACAAAATGGACACGGAGATAACAATCGAGCGAGGGGCCGTCTGTCGATTGTGCTTGCTTCTTGAAAAACTTGGCTGCAGCGTTCGCAATTCTGTTAGGTGACGACAATCCTTCGATAGTTGCTTTTCTGCGATTTTTTTAGTCAAACTGCCCCGTTTAAATGGCTCAATTAGTGGAAGAGTACGAATATGGCTTTTACAATAGTATTAAAGAATCGAACGGGGTCAGGTGTCGGATGAATGTATGAGTGCGTGAAT